TTGTAAGCAGCAGAAGGATGGATCCTGTTTTTGTATCCGTTCTGTTAGTTTGTGTCTTTTCACTGGGGAATTGAGCCCATTGATATTGAGAGGTATCAATGACCAATGATTGTTAATTGACTTGAGACGAGCCCTGCATTTTCCCATTGCACAGAGACTGGACAGCAAATGATACAGCCAGCTCTCCTAGAACGTAACAATTATCCCAATTTTTTTCAGTTCCCCATAAAGATGTCATCACTCCCAGACAGTGGGAAGCAATTTTAAGAATATTATGCTCACATTCCCAAGAGGTGGATTAAATGGTGTTTGGTCATTCAGTGGGTTATGGATATTTATCATCGTTGAGAGGGGTTGGCTATAAGTTGTTACTGATAATGGTAAGGAAAAAGTCTGAACAAAGGAGATTAGATTCAGGGATCTTGTTCTGAAAAGAAAAAGTGGGAAGTATAGAAGATATAGAAATGATAGGACAAAAGGGTATATTATTGAATCTACTTTTAAACCAAAAAAGCAACTACTAGTCTTAAATACATTTGTATGGATTGTTGTGTATTGATACAAATTTGAGGTTATTTTTGTTAAGCTGTATATATGTTTCTACTCTTGTTTAAGATATTTTTGTATATTGATACAAATTTAAGGTCATTCACTCTTGCTCAAGGTATTGTACCTATACAGCTCATTTAATAATGTAATGTAAATTTCTAGTCCTTGAAAGTTATTATTACAAACTATTTAGAATAATAAAGAAATGCAGGTCAGTAGTTAGTCACCTATTACAAAAATCTTGTAGTCATGTTAGGTACGTTTTCAAGGTCAAATAGATATATTTTAGATAGACAGGTGGTCTTCAAACACTTCAGAGATCTATAGAATATGGCATTTAAGATGTTTTAATAACATAAGGGTTTTTTAATGACAATGAGACATGCAGCTCCAATCTACTTCAGAGAAGATAATAGGCATCAAAGAAACTCCATGTGGAGTTCACTTTCTTTGTGGCAAAAATTAGCCACTGGACAAGAAACTGCCCTTGCCTCAACTGCTGACAGTATGCTTTCCAAATTAGACAAGCAGGACACAAAAGAAAATGACCACCAAATTTTGCCAAAAAACCTGCTTCAAAGAAAAGTCTGTCAGATATTGTATACCTGTAGGCTGAAGATGGATGCCCCAACCTTACAGAGGAAACTTGGGTGACCAGAAAACCAGCTACTTCTGTCATTTTTAAATTTTGGAAGTTGTTTGCTCTGCACTTCCTGTTTACTCAGGTAATTTTATATCCTTCTCAGGTCTTTGATGAAGTTGAAGACTAGATAGTTATAGTTTGCTTTATTATCAAATTCATTAAAGAAATTTACAAAAGAGGTGTAAAGTGTATAAGGTTGAGAGACATCAAAAGACAGTTTTGGGTTGGTAATACAAGTTAGGATAGAAAGTGAATTAGGTACAACACTTTGGACTCATCAAGATAGGATAGATAATGGAGTAATTTATCTGAATTTTTCAAATGCAAATGAACTGGACATTATTAATGTAATTCTTGCCTGTATATATTGTATATAGTTATTGTACTTATTGTATATAGTTTTTCTATGTTAGTTAAAACCTTCTCTTTTTATTTAGACAAAAAGGGGGATATGTTGTGTGATATTTTGATTGTGTTCTGACAAATAAAGCTTACTTGGAGTCAGAGTGCAGGGCCAGCCACTAGCTGACAGTAGAGGTTTGGAGGACTGTAGGGAAAGGAGACAGGAAGTGGTAAGGTGGGGCTGAGAGAGGATCTCGGGCTTTTTGACAGAGAAATGAGAGAGGCAGGAAGCAACTAGTAGCTGTTCCCTGCTCTCTGATCTTTCAGGTTCTTACCCAGTATTTTACTCCTGATTTTTTATAAAGATTAATTAGATTAATGCTTCACAGAATTCCTCAGTTTGTATTGTATTTATTGCTTCTATTTTCACTTTCAGGTCTTGAACAGTTTTATTCATTTATTGTTTCCTTCAACTGTTTGTCTTTTTCTTGGCTTTCTTTAAGGGATTTATTCATTTCCTCTTTAAGAACCTCTATCATCTTCATAAAGTTGGCTTTAAGGTCTTTTTCTTGTGCTTCAGCTGTGTTGTAATATTGTAGGCTTGCTGTGGTGGGATATCTGAGCCCTGGGGGTGACATATTGCCTTGGAAGTTAATTCTTGCACTGGCATCTAGGCATCTGAGTTTGGGGTGATTATAGGTCTCGGTGACAATTTCTGAGTTTGTCTTTGTTGGATGGATGTTTTGTTCCTTGGTTTCTGTTTCCTCTCTGGTTTTCTGACTGATGTGGCCTATGATTGAGCAGGGGATCTCCATCCAAGTTGAGGAATGGACTTCTGGTAGCTGATGTCACTTCTGATGGATCAAGAGGTCTCTGCCAAAGTTGGAGGCTAGGACATGGCATTGAGGAAGGATAGAGGGATTGGGTACAGCGTGGGGGGCACTAATGGAATTGGAGGGGGCAATGGGTGGGCAGCTTATCTGGACTTCTGGCTGCTGGTGTGGCCTCTGGTTGAGCAGTGGGTCTCCACCTGAGTCAGCAGCTGGGTCATGGTGAGGAAGTTCCTGATGTTTATAGAGTATTGTTTGAGACTGCCTGGTTGCCATCATTTTATCCTCCCATTCACTCAGAATGTCAGCTGCTTTTCACATTGTGAATTATCTATAAAATTAAGATTTGTTTGGTTCTTAGGTTGAAGCTCTAGCTGAAGACTTTGCTAACATGTACAAAGCCCCAGGTTCATTCCCCAGCGTGCTGGTTTGATTAGGTATCGTTTCCATAGACTTGTGTGTTTCAATGCTTGGCCCACAGGGAATGACACTATTAGATGCTGTGGCCTTGTTGGAGGAAGTGTGTTACTGTGGGGGCGGGCTTTGAGTTTTCAGACAGTTCACTTCCTGTTGCCTGTGGATCAGGATGTAGAACACTCAGCTCCTTCTCCAGCACCATGTCTGCCTGCATGCCGCCATGCTTCTTGACATGATGATAAGGAACTAAACCTCTGAAACTGTAAGCCAGTCCTAATTAAATATTTTCCTTTATATGAGTTGATGTGGTCATGGTGTCTCTTTATAGTAATTAAAACCCTAACTAAGACAGAATTCAACACCACACATAAAACTGAGCATAGTGGTGCATTTTTGTAATCTAACCTCAGTAGGTGGAGGCAGGGGGGTCAGAAGTTCAAGGCCATCTTTAGCCAAATAAAGAGTTCAAGGCAATCTTGTCTCAGAAACTACGAAATCTTTTTAAGGTTCTACCCCTCAGCTCTGACCCTGTTCTCTCAGAGCCACGCCCCGTTTCTCCTGCCTGGCCCTCAGTCACATCATCTTCTGTTGACTGATGTCTCCAGTCATGTCACCTTTTCTCCCGCCTAAAATCCCAGCTTCCATTGTCTGGTGTGGTCCCCAGAAGCTCTTGCACCGAGGCTTTTTTTTTTTGCACCCTCACTGCTCGCGCTGCCCACCCAGCCTCCGCACCCAGACACCTTTCTTTAAGCCTCCCAGTTCCGGCTCCGCCCCTTCTCTCCCTGCGACATCACCAGAGCTCCTCCCACACCTCACAGTTATGACCTCTTCCCTTTGGCTCCCTGCATGTGGCTGCTCCCGAACTCTCTGTGTCTTCCTATGACCTTCTGGAGAAAGTCCTCATCTCAGATGCTGGTACCTGAGGTCCCTTAGGATACTTACCTCCCGTCACTCTTGCCCTACAATAATCTCACAGTCCTCGCACCTTCTTTTTCGTTTGTTTGTCTGGTTTTCCCATTACTCACTCTGTAGACCAGGCTGGCCTCGAACTCACAGAGATCCACCTGCCTCTGCCTCCCGAGTGCTGGAATTAAAGGCATGTACCACCACACTCAGCTTCACCTCCTTATTTTTGCTGTTACTGAAGTGACTAAGGTAACAAACATCATCTCGTCCTGACTCCGTCCATGTCTACTTAGACTCTTCTCAGTCCTCTATCTTCCTCCTCCACCAACAATCATGTCCATCTTGGCATTACATTTGGAATTTCCATGACCCTGACCATGGTCCAGATGTATTCACTAAAATAGTTAATATTTATACAAATTAAACATAAACAAAAATAACCAAAAAAGGTATAAATCAAAATTAATTGTCATATTGTTTCTGAAATTACTACTGTGTTCAGCCAAAAATTTGTTGCAAGGTTACGCTGACCCTCATCTACTGTAGATGTAATTGTGTTCAGTCCTTCACACTGAGCAGTGGTGGCGGGCACCTTTAATACCAACACCTGGGAGGCAGAGGTAGGTGAATCTCTGAGTTTGAGGCCAGCCTAATTTACTTGGCAAGTTCCAGGTTAGCCCGGGTTCCACAGAGGAACCCTGTCTCAAACAAACTAAATGACAAACAAATGCAATCAAACCACACAACAACACAAACACTGTACCCCTGAGCTTTGGCACCAGAGTCGTTCCTAGGCACTAGCCCACTCTGGAGCTCTGATTCAAAATGAAGGACTAATTTTGGTGTGGTGGCCCATAGTTTTCTCACCTATACTATAGTACTACAGAAGAGTTTGAGGGAGATGATCTCTGAGAGGCTAGAACAAGGCCGAGGAGTCCAGGGTGGATGTCCAATTGGCTTGTAAAGCAGTGGGCAGAGCTAGGCTTCCAAGGAGCAGAAATGGAATAAAGAAAAGCGCCCTTTGTGTGCATTTTACTGGTAGAAGTGAATGGACACCTACTCCTTGTTCTTGAGTAAGTGCTGTTATCCACTGAGCGTTTCTCCAGCCCCGTAACATCCCAATTGTACCAATGAGAACATTCACACTCTAAAGGAAAGCGCATCCCAAGGGTGCCCAGACGGTAGGTGGCCACACTGGGATTCCTTCTGCTAACCACACCTGTGCGGTAGGACTGCAGCCTGTACCCTCCCTGGGATGCAAGGATTGAGCAGAGCATATTTAGCAATGATCTATTCTCTGTGTCACTACATTTATTAAACATCAGTGTCAGCTCTGGGCATCTGAAGACTCTGAGAGCAGGGTAGGGTCTCAGGGAGAGAGAATCTGTAGCCAGCTAGGGGGAGGGGGTTCGTAGGACAGGAATCGGGCATCTCATGTCAGAGCCACTTGTTTTTGATGACGTTTTGGATCCATCTGATATGGATGCAGACATCAGTGTAAACTCCCGGCTTCTTCTTTGATCCACAGGGCATGTTACCCCACGACACGAGGCCTCGGAGATGATCTCCACATACCAGGGGACCTCCAGAATCACCCTATGTGGAAGAGAGAAAATCAGAAACTCACTCGGAAGGAGGAGGGAGAGGCAGAATGGGAGAATTAGAGATACTCAGAGATGGAAGGAAAGACTGGTGTGGTGGTTCATGCCTGCTATCTCAACTACTCAGGATGCTGAGGCAGGAGGATTGCAAATTTAAGGCTCTCTGTCTCAAAGTAAAAGAGGGAGGAGGGTACAGCTCACCAGTAAAGCACTTGCTGAGTGTGCGTAAGAACCTGGATTCAGTTCCCAGTAAAAGACAGAGATAGACGAGGTGCTCAAGGACACCCAGTTTCATAAAGGTCTAGGTGGGAGAAAGGATGTTCAGATAAGCCGTTCATCCTGGAGGGAAGGTTGTTAAGACCCAGTATGTTCTAAGGAGGGTTGAAACATTCCATCCTACAGCAAAGATACTTAAAATTCAAAAAACAAACAACTCAAGGACTTCAGGAAGCCCCTAAAACTGACCAGATGCCCTGGGCCCCTCCTTCTCCAAGAATGTATAAGCAGTAAGGACTATTAGAGTCACTCCGCTGCTGTGAGCTGTCTAGAAGGGGCTCTGACGGCCTGAGCTGCTGGAGAGAGGCGCTCTCCAACCGGCTGAGCTGCCTGCGGGTTATGAGCTGCCTGCGGGCGATGCAGGGCGCTCCACACTGGTGAACTGTCATCCAGGGTGCAGTGAGTCACTTCTGCTCCTGCAAGCAACCTCAATAAACTCATCCATTCACCAAACTGGACTGGAGTGCCATTCTTTGGTCGGTTAGTAGTTCCCTGTCTTGGGTGAGTAGATGTTTGATCTCATCCCTGCAGAAAGAGATCACAGGACAGAGAGAGAGACACCAAGGTCCATAAAAGTAAAGGGTATCAGTGGTGGAGAAGGAGATAGAGAGGGAAAAATAAAAATGCTAAGACCATTGGGAGAGGTGGGGAAGGCAGACTCAAGGGGAAGATAAAAAAAAAAAAACAAAACAACCAACGAACGTTCTCTGTCCTCTGTTCTCAGGCCAGCCATGTCTACCTGTTCTTTCTTTGTTCCCAAATCATTGTCTCACTTTCTCAGCCTCCTCACCCCGACCCTTGCTTCCTTAGTAGGTCGATTTCAGCTATCCATGGTCTAGAATCATTCTGGCATAAAAAGGAGTCTGGAAGGATAACAGTCAGGGAAGCTCCTGGTAAGGTATTGGAGACTAGGTGGGTGTGGTGGTACATGCCTGTCATCCCAGTACCCCAGGGCTGATGCAGAAGGATTTCTGTGAGTCTGGAGACGAGCCAAGGCTTGCGAGTGGGTTCCAGAGCAGCCTGGTTACAGGTTTTGAGGGATGAGCATAGAGTCCCTATCTTTGCAGCTGGGATGCCCCCTCATCTGGAGCTCAGCCATGTCCAAGTGGGCTCCAGTGCTGCAGCTCTGAGGATGGATGGCTAGCATTTGCTTGGCTCTTGAGTCTCTCCAGTTGTTCAGAACTTCACCCAAGGTGGCCATTCACTGAAACTGTTTCTTAAATTTTCAGGCTCACCAGGTTCACCCATATTTGGCTAGCCATTGTAGTGTCTGGCTCTTGGTGTCTGTCTCCCTCTCTGTCCTTGCATCCGAACTTCCTGATTCTGCTGGGTGCCTTATGTATGTTTGTGTAGAACATGTGAGAGTACATGTGCATGCAGGTGTGTTCGCGTGCATGTGGAGGCCAGCAGGCATCCTTCCCTAGGAATCATCTACTGTGGTTTTTTGAGACAGAGTCACTCACTGGACCCAGCTCACCAAATAGGCTAAGGTAGCTGGCCAGTGAACGCTGGGGACCTGCTTACCTCTGTCCCCCAGTACTGGGATACAAGCACATGCCATTATGCCCTTCAGCTCAGGTCTTCATACCTGCATGGTATGTATTTTACTTACTGAACCATCCTCTCAGCCCCAAGCTGGCTTTCTTCTTCCTTCCTTCCTTCCTTCCTTCCTTCCTTCCTTCCTTCCTTCCTTCCTTCCTTCCTCCCTCCCTCCCTCCCTCCCTCCCTCCCTCCCTCCCTTCCTTCCTTCCTTCCTGACAGTGTTTCTTTGTGTAGCTTTGGCTCCTTTCCTGGAACTCACTCTGTAGCCCAAGCTGGCCTCAAACTCACAGAGATCTGCCTGGCTCTGCCTCCCAAGTGCTGGAATTAAAGATGTGCGCCACCACCGCCCGGCCTGGCTTGTTTCTTGTTTGTCTCTGCTTGTGTGAGACGGAGTCTCTTCCTGACTTATCCTCCAGTGCTCTCCCAGCTGACTTTCTCAATGCCTCTGTCTTCCTGTCTGGGTGATTTCAGGTCTCTGCTCCCGTTCTCACCTGGCAGGTGTCGTTCCCTTCTATCTTGTCACCTGCGCACACCATGCTTCGGGTGATCTTACCAGGGTAGGCACGCTCACACTCCTCCCGGGACACCAGTTGGACATCAGCACACTGAATGGTGTCTGGGAAGTCACCTAGGAGGAGGGAGATGGGCCTATGTGAGCCTTTCCTCTCAGGTCTTCACCGCCCCCGTACCCCCATTTCCTGTTTCTCTCTCATGCTTAGAACCCGTCTTCTTTGTCACTGACTTTCGATTTTTCCCTTTCCCCACGATTATTGGCCTGGCTTCCTGACTGATCATTACTTCTCCATGAGTTCTCATTGCTCTTCTCATTGGCCCTTCATTTGTGTGGCCATCTTCTCCATGCTATTTATTCATCTACATTTGGTCCAGCTCCTCAGCTTTCTCCTCCCTCCACCCATCTTTTACCCATGAACAAACTAGCCTACTGGTCCTCTCATCAGCATCTTCTCACGGCCCTCCATCTACCATCCCACCTCCATCATTGGACCCCCTCCTTTTGGTCTCTTCGGCCACTCCCAACCATCTCCCCTCACTGACCATTTTCCATCTTGCCCCAGCCCAGGATCCGACAGCTGAGATTCTCCTCAGAGCAGTCTTTCTTCAAGGGCAGTGGCTGTATGTTTTGAGAGAATTTGACTGCATTTTTCAGATGCACCATCATGATGTCATTGTCATGGGTGTCAGGGTTGTAGCGGGGATGGATGATTGTCCGATCCACAAAGATCTGCCTTTGGTAATTCTCTGTTTGCCGTAGGTTGTGTTTCCCCAAGCGCACCTCCAGATTCCTGGAAAGAAGGCAGCTGGGAATCATCTACAGGCCTGGACTTCGCATGAGGCTCCCAGAGAGATCATGTGCCCCTCTTCTCCCTCCTCCCTCGGTCTTCCCCAGCTCAGTCAAAGACAAGCCCATTTTTCTACAATTTTGTCTTTAAAGTTTTCCTATGGTACTACTTGACAGTCAGCTCCCATAGCTGCAGGTTCTACATGTACAGATTCAACTGATCGCAGATCAAAAAATACCGGGGGAGCAGCCGAGCAAGTGATGTACACCTTTAAACCCAGCACTCTGGAGCCAGAGGCTGGAGGATTTCTATGAGTTTGAGGCCAGCCTCATCTATACAGTGAATTCCTGGCCAACCAGGAATACAGAGACCCTGACTCAAAAACAAACAAACAAACAAAGAGCACACTGTTGAGAAAGGAGCTGGCGACCTCTCAGCAGGTAAAGCAATGACTGCACAAGCTCGCTGGCCTGCGGGCCATCGCCAGAACCTGCACAAAGGCGGAAGGAGAGGACCTGTCTCCACAAAGTTGTCCTGCGACCTCCAGAGGCGCACTGTCACATGTACACACCCACGAAACTAGCCTTAAGTAAAGAAAATTAAGATCTGCATGTATTAAACATATACAGATGTTTTTTTCTTGTTATTATTTCTCAAACAAAACAGTTTAACAACTATTTATGTAGCATTTACACTGCCATGGGCACTACATGTAATCTAAGCATAATTTTATTTATGAATTTATTTTTGGGTTATGAGCCTAGCTTTTAGTGGCTGAGCCATCTCTCCTGCCCATGAATTTATTTTTTAAGATTTATTTTTTTTAATTTAAATATATGTATGGGTAGATGGGGTATCTGCATTTGAGTGCAGGTGCCCATGAAGTCCCTAGAAGGTAAGATGTTGGATCTCCGGGCATTGGAGTTAGAGGCAGTTGTGAGCTGCCATATGGGTGCTGGGACTGAACTCAGATCCTCTACAAGACATTATGTGCTTTTAACCCACTGAGTCATCTCTCCAACCCTATTTTTAAAAAAGATTTCATTTGATTAATTGTGTGTGTGTGTGTGTGTGTGTGTGTGTGTGTGTGTGTGTGTTCTGATTGGTGTGCGTGTGCAGAGGCCAGAAGAGGGCTTTGGATCCCTCTGAGTTGGAGTTACAGGCATTTGATTTGCAGGCTGCCTGGCTTGTGACATGGGTGCTTGGATCCGAAGTTCAGTCCTAATGACTGGGAAGCAAGTGAACTATCAAGCTATGGATGCAGCTCCCAGTTTTGTTTTTTGGAGGGCATCTCTTGTAACCCAAGCTGGCCTCCAGCTCCCTGAGTAGCTGAGGATTAGCTTGTGCTTCCAACTCTCCTGCCTTTATCTCTCAAATGCCAACACTACGGTGATGCACTGCCACGCCCAGTTTGGGAGATACTGGCTATGGAACCCAGCGCAATCCCTCCACCAGCTCCTGCATTACCAGCCCCTGCAGAGATAAAGCTTAGAGCTCATGCAAGGATATTCGTGGACTACACACAAGTGCTGCACTATTTCTTTTGTAAAGGGCTTGAGTGTTTGAAAATCTTGATATCCCCCAGGGTCCTGGAACCTATGGATACCCGGCTGAACACAGCTGCTTGTAGGATGGCGAGTGCTCAGATCTGTCTCTCTCCTGAAGTCTGCATTGCACCCTCTGGGTCCCCTTACACACATTTCTCAAAGAAAGAGACACTCACGTTTTTTTGCAGTGGGCAGCTGTGAGCACCCACTGTGGATGGATGAGGACCCCACCACACAGCAAGTGACCCGAGGTGTAGAGGGCAGCTTGGAAAGGGTGAGAATTCTTCAAGCAGGGACCACCATGTACTACCTTATCCTTCTCCTCGGTCCAGGCTGAGAGAGGGAAGATCTGATGAGAGAACTCGGAGATGAACTGCAACCCTCTCGGTTCCTATCCCATTCTCACCTCCAGGCCTACCTCCTCTCCTCCACTCCATCTCCTCTGTTCTTTTGTTTTGTTTTGTTATTGTTTGGTTTTTCCAGACAGGGTTTCCCTGTGTACCCCTGGCTGTCCTGGAACTCATTCTGTAGACCAGGCTGGACTCCAGCTCAGAGATCCACCTGCCTCTGCCTCCCAAGTGCTGGGACTAAAGGCGTGAAAGGAGTGTGCCACCGCGCCCAGATATCTCCATCCGCAAAGCCATACTTATCCTTTATCCTCAAATGCACCTCCAGACTTGTTCTTAGCCAGTCCTCTCAGGGCCTTCCTCATTTCAAAGCCACCTAGTCCCATCCTAAACTGTCATCTGCCACCAATGCCCATCCATCCATCAACGCCCCCCTTCTATATTCCTTTCATCACCTGACTTAGCAAGAACCAAGCACAGGACCAGTGTCTTCACCGTCAGCATCTTCACGGTCACCTGGAGTGGGGAAGCCAGCGGTTCTGTTAGTCATTTCCGAGCCTCTGTCCAGGACCCCACCCTGCTCCTTCTTTGCCCTCTCCATCCTCACTGTCCTGTCCTGTGCTCCTGCCCTTGTTTGATCTCTGCCCCCTTCTCACCTCCTGGTTTCTCATCTCCCAGCCCACACCTTGAATCTGAGGGTTCTGTGAGAGCAGACCATGTCCATGGTTCCAGGTGCTTTGGGGAAGAAATACAGCCAACCTTCCTGACTCTCTGGACTCTGGTCCCCCTTCCTACTAACAGAGGTTAGTCCCAAGGGGTCACTGACACGCTTCCTCTCTGTGGGACTTTCTTTTCCTGCTTGACTCCGTCCTTACACTTCACTCACCCCACACCTATAGGTGTTGTGGCGCATGTGTCTTACCGTGGTGGCCAGCAGCGTACCTGCCAGCACTTAGGTGGGGAAATGATGCCACCTAGCACAGGAAGCCAGAGGCAGAGACAGTCAGCAAGGCAGGGTGCTCCACGAGAGAAGGGGAGGACAGACTGGCGGAGGTTGCCTTAGGATCCGAGTCGCACAGGGAGGGAGACACCTGGGTGCAGGGTCCCAAGAATAGACCGTCTCCTAGAAGCCTGCCTGGTTCTGTGGCCTTCCAGAAAGAGGCAGGCTCTGTCCTCAGGCTCTCTCAGCTTCCTTTTAACCCCTCTCTCTTCAAGTCTCTTAGCCAGGAGGAAGCTGGACACACCCTTTTCTTCACCTAAGCCTCCCACATACATTCCTTCTGCCCCACGGCTCTGCTCCTGGTGACCCCTGACCAGATAGCTACACAAAAGCAGTACCTAGCTCTGGTCCCTAGTGACCCTGCATCTTTGGATCCCGAGGGAGGAGCCGAGTCTGTTCTCCTGGGTCTGAGGGAGGAGGCTGGGGCTTGGACCCCTGAGTCTGAGAGAGGGCTGGAGCTAGACTCCTGGGTTTGAGGGAGGAGTGTTGGTCCTGGACTCTTGGGTCTGAGGAGGAATGTTGAGGCCGAAATCTTTGGGACTGTGGTGGAGAGAGATGGGAGCCCGTTCTTAGTTTTGGATTTGTAGGATTTGGGATGTAATCAGACTGAGTGCTGAGTGCCAGCTCCCAGGTTAGTCAGTGGTGCCCCAGCCTCCACAAGTACCCCGCCTATACCCTCTAGGGAGCCTGCAGGATCTCCTCCTGGGGTTGTATCTCTGAAGCACTGGAACCAGCTGCCCAGGTTCAGTGGGGTCAGGCTGACTCATCTACCCGTAAGTCCGTCTGTGGGTGCTGAAGACCTCCACGTCCCCAGGAGAGTGGGAGCTGCCGGCCAGCTGTTGAGAAACGGTGATTCGGTGATTCGTTGTTCAGTAAGCTGTCCCCCGCCCCGAACCCGGGCTGGGAAGCAGGATGAGCAATGTGGGGAAAGAGACTTCCAACAATCAGGCATTGTCTGTCCCCAGAAACCTGGTACCATGCTCCCAGCGGCTCCCTTTCTCAACCTCGGTTCCGGGAAGATGGGCGGCAGGCTATCTCAATGACTTCCCTTTGTCCCAGTGTGACTAACAATCTGGCTGGGTCCTTGATCTGAGTATTTTAGAGCTCTGGACCCTCTCCTCCAGGGCTGCCCCACCTTCGGCTCTCGGGCTCCATTCCTTTCTGTGTCTGCCTATGTCTGTCTCCCTCCATCTCAAATGCATTTGCATCTCACAAGCCTTTGCTCTGTTGTTTTTTCTTATTCTTCTTTTTCTTTTGTGTCTCAGACTTTCTCTGTCTCCGTTTGTCTGTCTCTCTCCTAACCCCCTGGACTCTCCATATCTTCTGTTTCTCTGCTGGCTCTCTCCTTGTACTATTTGGGGAAATGTGTGTGCACTTGGTATGCAGTGATGTTTCTGGGGCATAAGAAGGAATGGTATGGGGTGGGAGGAGGGAGCCAGTGAGGTGCAGGAGGGTGTGTAGACTCACTGGTTAGGTTTTGCACATATAGAGAGACACACAGGTAGAGAGGACCTGGCATGCAATAACAGGGGAGCAACACCAAGGGAGAGAAGCAAGAGCACTGGGAAGCTATGTCACGAACTGGGAGAATTACGGGGAGGTGCCTTTGAACCTGGGTCTGAGAAGCGAGAGTCGGGGAAGAAGAGAGGATGCAGGCGTGTGTGGGTAGAGCAGGCAGTGGTCAGTGTGGGCTGCGAGGGAGGGACTTATGGAAGGTGGAGGGTGGAGGGATGCGGGGAAGGGTGTGGGGACAAAGGGAAAATGGGGACATACTAGGAAACCAATAGGCAATAGCAACAGCAAGCATGCACAATGTGCCCCTCAGCATTTGCTGGGCATGGCACCTCATGTGACCTTCTTCTGACTCCTCGTATTAGTCAGTTCCCATCACCCTGGTTAGGAAAACTCAGTTGTCACCTCACACTACGTCTCTTCTGAACTTAGCGTCTTCTTCTTGTGTCCCACTGTTTTCCCAGACACAGAGTCAGCTCCTCTCACACAACTCATTGGCCATCCAGCCTTGTCCCACTGCCTCCCTTCTGTGGGACCCACTCCTCTCTGCTCCCGTGTTCTGGCCCCAGTGCAGACTGGGTTCTTCACCCATCCGAGCACTCTCCATTCTCTGGGTCACTCACTAGACTACCAGAGGGGTATCCCTGCACTTTGCTTGGACCAACTCTGGCCTTCTTACAAGTCTGCCCCAACTCATCATGCCTCTTGGGACAAAGTCTGAGACTGGAGGATCTTCAGCAACTAGGGGTTAGGGGCATGGCTCAGTTGTAGAGCCCCTTCCTGGAATTCTCCAGCAAGGGGCTGGAGATGTGGCTCAGAGGTCACACATCTGCTGAGAATCCTTCAGTGAAGGACCAAGGGTGTGGCTTATGTTAGAGCCCCTGCCAAGGATCCTACAGTGATGGATTGTGTGTGTGGCTCAGTGGTAGAGCCCCTACCTAGAATCCCCCAGTGAGGGGCTGGGGTGTAGCTCAGAGGTAGAACATTTGCCTAGAATCCCCCAGCAATAGTCTGGGGTATGGCTCAGAGATTGAGAGCATGCCTAGCATGCAAGTTCTTCAGTTCCATTCTTCAGCATTATCAAGTGGTGGTATATGTTCTTGTTGCCAAGATAGGAAATAATGGCTATGTTAAGTAGTTTTGCTTCACCATTCCACATTGTATGTGTACATTTATTAAAATACCATAAGAATATGTAATTTTCATGTATTCCTTCAAAGTAAATTTAAGAAATAAAGGAAGAGAACAGCTAAACAGATATAACAATTGGTTGAGTTTGGTGGCATAGGCCTGTCATCCCAGCTAGTTGGGAGGCTAAGACAAGACTGTTGCAAGCTCAAGCACAGTCTAGGCCACAGAGTGAAACCCCATCTTAAAATGAAAAGGAAAAAGGAAGTTGGCATCACAGCTCCGCAGTTCAGTTTTGACCTAGCGGGTATGAGGCCCTGGGTTCAAGCCCCAGTATGGTAAAATGAAACAAAACAAAATCAGGAATTTATTCAGTTCCTTTATGTAACTCAAGACATTAAAGGTACATGAGTTTAGAAATGAAAGTTATCAAAGGACCCATTTGCTTCATGTACTGGAATACCGAGTGCTTGGAATCTAGTCAGCCTTTTACATTTATAACCCAACTCGGTGGAAACTCATTCCTTTCCAGCCTTGAAGGCCCATGATCGCCCTGGCTACCCACTGCTTGGGCCAGCCCTACCCATCATTCTGTGCTCCAGCTTTTGAGACCGTATCAAGTGTCCCGAGTTGCTCCATACCCCGTGGCCTCGGAGTCTCTTCTGAGTTTCTTCCTCTTCGTCTCATGCTCTCCCCACTTTTTGCTGTCGACCACCTCTTCTCCCTTTGGTCTTGGCTGGAGCATTGCCTCTTAGAACAAGTTTCCACTGGACACCACCCAATGCCACCTGTCACGGTTGGGTTAGTCATTCTCCTGTGTGGGCTTCCACAGGTGTCTCTTTCCAGGTGTTACCCTGGACCGGAGCCATTTGTATCAGTGTCCATCTCCTTCACTGGATCTTGAGCTCCATGAGCATGGACTGTGCTGACTCACTGCTGCATCCACAGGGAATTCAGGAAATGTTGACCCATGACTACCATGACTTATCGACTCCTGTTGTAGATAGGAAAGCTGAGGCACAAGGTAGGGAAGTTCATTGCTCAGGTACAAGCACACAGGAAGTGACAGAGAATGCATTGACACTCAACTTCCAACATTGTGGTATTCCAATATAACATTAGCCAAAATGGCAGCATTCCAACATGGAGGATTCTAAAATGACCCACCCCAGCATGTTATATTCTAACATGATATATTCCAACAGGTATGTTCTAACATTGTTCCAAAATGAAGTCTTTCAACATAGTAGTATTCCAACATGGACATGTTCCAATACAATAGTGATTCAGCCCATCTCTCTACAATTCCCCAAAGATGATAATACAATTCCTTACTGTAATACAAGGTGAGTGGGCCCAGGAGAAATCATCCATGATGGGAAAGGAGGAGACACATAAGACTTGAGTCTTTCATGGCCTACTCATGCCCATTCCTGTCCCATTGCCTACTGTCTATTCCCATATTACTGGTGGACTAAAAAATCTTTAAAGAGAGAATGAAGCCCTCCTATCCACTGTCACTGACTTTTATTATCTTCCCATCCTTACCTCTGATCAGACCACGCACGTTTAAGTGTCTGAATGTTTGTGTCTAAATTGACTTACTCAGCTAAAATCCTCAAAAAAAAATCTTAAAGGAAATTTTATGAGAGTAAACAGAAAAAAATATGAGAAGTAATCAGACTGAGAACTAACTCTCATTGGTGCTTTGTACTGTGTCTGATGCTGTTCCAGCACTGTTTACATATGAAATTATTTAATCTTTATGATGATGCCAAGAGGTGGGAGCTTGGCCTCCCACTTAAAGGCTGAAGGAACACAGGTGGGGAAGAAAGACAGCAGGACAGGAAGGGCAGACAGCAGGACAGGAAGGGCAGACAGCAGGACAGGAAGGGCAGACAGCGGGCTGGGCTTGCAGCTCAGTGTTAGAGCTTCTGCTTCCCTGGGGAGGAGAAAGAGGGAGGAGAAAAAGAAAGAGAAGAGGGAGAGATCCAGAGAGAGAGAGAGGACTAAGGTGGAGGGGAAGAGGGAGAGAAACACTAGGAGAGGAAGGAGAAAAGGAGAGACAGAGAAGAAGAGAGGAGGGAGGAGAAGAGAGGAAGGGAGGAGAGCAGAGAAAGGAGGGGGTACGTTGGTGAGGAGAAGAGAAGAGACAGGAGGCCAGGGAAGGGAGGGGAGAAGACAGGGATAAAGAGAGGAGAAACAACACACACAGGGGTGGGTATTCCTGGGAAAATTGGGGTTTCTATTTGGAATTCTTAGTCTTGTTAATAAGAGAATTTAAAAACGACTTGGGGTAATTTTATTAGAAATTGGGGGGCAGGGCATATATGAAATCACCAAAAGTTAATAAAAATATTTTCTTAAAAAAACAGAGAAGGCAAGCTGCCTAGTGGAGGGAGGTGGAGGAGGGCAAGAGAGAAAGCTGTGATTTTTGCTGGCATGTTCAGCAATGGAGGTTGGCAAGCTGCTGCAAAGCGAAGTGGAAGGGGACTTCCAGAAAGGTTTTTGTTTTGTTTTGTTTTGGTTTTTTTTTGGAAAAAAAAAACTTTCTTTTTCAGAGAAAATGTGAAAAATCCCTGAGTGTCAGGGAAAGTATACCTGGGCTTTGGCCAGTATCTAAAAGAAAAAGATTGAAAAGTGACTCAGAAAAGCATTCAGGCAGCATGAGTGCCTGCATGGAGGAGGGGTTTCTGGGAAGGGTGAATTCATTATCTCATTAAGAGGATAATTATTCCTCCCTTCACCTTAGCATGCCTTCAGGTGAATCAGATTTCCAGTGAGGTGGACTCCTGACCAGGTGATTGACAGGTCCATCTGGATTAACTTTGAGAAGATAGTAGTCTATAGCAGCCTGTCATGTTCTAATCTTTGAAGCAGATCAGTGACATGTCTCCACCCAGACCAGAGGTAGATTCCATTCTTTTGACCAGGAGGAAGTCATTCTCTCTGAATGATCTTCAACAAAGACCTGATGTCTCTGCCTATTCTTTTCCTCCCTCCCTCCCTCCCTCCCTCCTTCCCTCCCTTTCTTCCTTCTTTCCTTCCTTCCCTCCTTCCTTTTTGTTCACAAACACTGGACATTTAATATCTACAAAGCTGACATGACCCATGTCATGCTTGTTTTTTTTAAGAGCATTTCCTATTATTCTTTGATAATTTCACACATGCATACAAGGTGCCATGATTATATCCATCCCTTATTTTTCCTCCCACTCTCTGAACATCCCCACCTTATCTCCTTCCCACTTTCAAGTCCTCTCCTTTCTCTTCTTCCTTCTTTTTATTATTGTGGGGTATTGATTCCAGTTAGTTCTGCCTGTTGAAATGTCAGTGGATCTTGTTGACTCCACCCCACGCCCCCCCCCTTTTCTCTCCTTTCTGCTCTCTCTTCTTTCCTCTCCTTTTATACAGGTAACCATGTTTGCTGTGCATTCATGAGTGTGACAGCAGCAGACAGTCGTGTCCAGGAGAAAGCGCTCCACACTACTACCCCATCCTTCTGCATCTTTTTGCACATTCCTCCTCAGTGTTCTCCGAGCCCTGGAGTTATTGATGTCAACATTCAACTGTCACTTGCTTTTATCACTTTGACCAGGCATGAATCTCTGTGTTTCTGTCCACTGCAGAAAGAGGTTTCTCTGGTCACAGTTGAGAGCAGCGCTAATCTATGGGTATAAACACAAACATTTAGAAGGCAGCTTGACAAGACCATTTAAGCTAAACAATAATAGGTCCCCCAAGGGCCTATGACCTCCCAAGCCATGGGCTATTGACCAGGTTTGCAATACCAGCACGAATTCCCTCCTGTGAAGCAGGCCTTAAATCCAGTCAGAAAGTGGTTGATTACTCCTATTAAACCTCACGTCACTAATACACCAGTCAGGGTACATCTTGCTGATCCCCACATTTTAATGAGTTCAAAGATGATATTTCTCTTTATAATGTTACCAAGAAATGGAATCCAAAGTCAGTCATGAAGGGAAGGTCCATCTTTGTTGGCCTCCAAGGCTGTTAATCCCTGCCTATTTACCTAACAAGAAAGGAGAGGGAAGAGGAGGCCAGAAGAGAGAAACACACACACACACACACACACACACACACACACACACACACGCACGCACGCACGCACGCACGCACGCACGCACACACACGCACGCACGCACACACACGCACAAGCAGAGAGAGAGACACACAGAGAGATTGTAGGTGCCACAAGCAGGTTTTTAATGCAAGAAGTCAAGTTCCAGAAGCTACTGGTTTTTACTATAAGTCTACTGTCCAGTCAAAGAAAAACAAAGCCCTTTCCAAACAATCGAACCCGAGTGTAGACTTTTATCTTTGTAACCCGATCAGACTCTCACTGTAGCCAGGCTCAGGGGTTCCAGCTGGAGTCAGGGCTATTGTGACTCTGCGTTACTTTGTTGAAAGTTATGTTTTATTTTATTTCTGAGTGGTGTGTGTGTGTGTGTGTTGTGTGTGAATGTTAACATTGATATATCCACCTTATTTTTGAGAGTGTCTCTCACTGTCTAGAGATAAAAGAACTGGCTTTGTCTCAATCTCTTCAGCAATTGTGGTGGTTGCATTGTGAGACACCCCCCCTCCGCCCCCCCCCCAGCAAGGTCACCACAGAGCCAATATCCGATGCAAAACACACAGGGGTTTATTGATAACAAGCAAGCCTGGGCTTGGTCCGTGTCCAACACTTGACACAGTGGGTGGAGAAGGACAGCCCTGAGCTCCCAGGGTGAGGGGTTTTAAAAGGGAAAAACCACAAACAGGGTGGTACAAGCCTTGGCATCATATGATTGGGTAAGGGTGTGTAACCTTTGAATTTACTGGTTGGGGGTTACAGTTATCATTTTGGGGCAGGCCTGGACAAGTCCCAGGCTTTGTCCTTGAGCTGCCATAGAGGCTGGCTGGCCTCACACATTGACCTATGCACATAGCTCTAAGTTGGTGAGGGGTCCCAGACAGTAAACAACTGGCTGAACCTCCAGCAGTCAGAGTACATGTAGAAAGGGAGCTATTGCAAGGACTGTGTCTTTTGTTCATGGCCCTCCCAGAAACTGCTTGCTCAAGTCTCAGGACACTGAAATTGAGGCCTGATCTCTGAGAGAAGACTGAGCAGCCTGTTATGGCATCTGCTTGGTCCTTTCACAATAAGATTGCAAACACATGCAAAGCCAGGTGCTGCATTTCATTCTGGTCTTGGGGATCCAAACTCAGATTCTTGTGCATGCATAACCAGCACTTTCCCATTGAACCATCTGTAAGGATTATGTCACCAGCCTGCGACGGCGTCCCAGCCTAAAAACCGAGCGTGCCCTCTCTGTGCCCTCTTTTTCCACACTTTCTCCTTCCGTACTCTCTGTCTCTGTCTCTCTCTCTCCCCCTTGCCCTCTCTCTCCCAATAAAGCTCTAGAAAGGTAACCATGGCTCGTGACTCTTCTGTCACTGTCACCGATCCATCCAGCCCTCTCTTTTGTTGGCATGGCCGCCATGGCCAGTCACGAGCGCCGCCGCTTAACCAACACCATCTGACCTTTCTAAGACAGGGACTCACTATGTAACCTTGACTAGCTTGGAACTGGCTATACAGACCAGGATGACCTCGAACTCACAGAGATCTTTCTGGCTCAGCCTCCCGAGTGCTGAGATTAAAGGTGTGCACCACCACGCCAGGCCCTTTAAATTTTTACTCGGAATGGCGATTTGGGTAGTTTGAAGAGAGGAAAAGCTGATGAAACTCCATGGGGATGGAAGGCCAGATTCCCTTGGCATTCCTTAAATTAGACACAGGTCCAGAAAACGACAGGTCTGGACTTAAGCCCGATGGAGGAAGGCCAGGGACTGGACTCCTGGGCCTGAGGAAGAAGGGGTAGGGTCTGGACTCTGGGTCTGAGGGAGGAGGCTGGGGGTCTGTGCTGCGTGTCGCCATGTGCAGAATGTCGCAGCTGCAGCTTTTCTGGCTGACTGGCTGAGAGCCATCAGTGGAGACTCTGAAGAAGGAGCGGTGGGAAGAACCCAAATGGTGTTTGTGGGGAAGAAATTCCAGGAAACAGGAAGGCTGGGTGGGAGGGCGGGCCCTCGCCTGTACTGCACCCCTTTGTCAGCAGACTCTGAGGTGTCACTGCCCAGAGAAGGAAGGCAGGCTAGGCGGGGCTCTGCTATGAGTCACAAAGCACCTCCTTCCAGAGCACCCCACCTTTGGGGAGAAGCCTGCTCATCACCACCTTCCTCTGGACCCCAGCTCCTGGATGACCCCCAAAGGACCTAAGTGTCCAGTCTGTGTCTCCCCCATGCCCCACTGAAAACCTCTGTCACCTGAAATACAGTCTCCCCATCCCTTCACCTTGGTGACTTAGGTACTTACCCTCCATTTTTTCTTCCCTCCCTCCCTCCATCTCTAGCTGCTATTTTGCATGTAAGGAGAACAGAAAGCCAAGAATAGAGAAAAGCATTCCACTCACCAGGACCAAGCTACAATGTCCTTAAAATAAAAATATTAAAGATACTTTATTTACACTTTTATTCAGTTTTGTGTGCATGTATGTGTGCAGGTACACATGTGCCACAGCACATCTGGAGGTCAGAGGATAACATGGAGGAGTCACTTATTTCCTTCCACACTGTAGGGCCTTGAGATGGAACTCAAGTCCCGTCAAGCTTGGCAGCAAGCACCTTCACCCACTGAGCCACCTTGCTGGTCCAGGTACAATTTCTTCGCCGACTCTTCCTCACGGGCCTCCTCCCTCCACCATCGATGCTTCCAGTTTCCCGCCATCATTTTCCAGGCTACGAGTGTACACATGAACATCACTTGAATTTTATTCTGCATATGCTTCATTTGACACACCCAGCTCACATTAGTTGTTACACTTCATATCCCCATTAAATATCACACAATAACAGTCACTCTTGCATAAGGCCGAACAGTACAGCTTGGGCATTATTTTTCATGAGTTCATAATATTCCGAAAGAAAGCAATCTATTATTTAAATATTCAAAACTTTAGAACACATTAACAGTTTCCATTCTTTTTCTTCTTACAATAAACAACGTAACAAATCCAAACTTAGTTCTATTTTTTGTTTTAAGAATGCTCTGGAATTGGAGGGCCTGAGCCAAAGGCAATGGATGAAGGTCTCGAAGTTACCAGCTACTTTCCAATAAAGGACTGTAGGAATTCCTAGATCTTGCACTTGAAAGTGTTAGACTTCTGGCATCTTCCACAGCCATGGGGTTTTGTAGTCTTTTGACTTAATTTGCTTTTAGGTCTCTGGGGTTCCGAGTGGTTTATAAACTTGACATAGTGTTGAGGCTTTGGTATGTCTTGGAGGAAAAGTGAAGCCAGACAGGACTTTACAGTGCTCCCACAAGTGTCCTTACTCTATCAGCATGTCCCTGGAGGCTCACAGCTTGACTCCTGGTCCATTAGCGAAAGGTTTTCATGGTGGTTTCCAACCACCGGTGGTACTTGCAGACTTGAGTGTAGACACCTGGGTCATTGGGCTGGCCACAAGGGTAGGTTCCCCAGGATACCAGACCTTGAAGGGTGCCTTTGCACACCAACGGCCCCCCTGAGTCACCCTGTGGGGAACAGAGAAGGTTAGTTTTGGCTTCAGAGGACCCCCAGGTCACTCTCACATACCCTCTCGTTTAGTCTTTGACAAACTGAATCATCCTCACCCCTGACCAATGAGCATGGACTCTGGGAACCAATGGGAGAGCAGGAATTCATACTAACGCGGTGATAACCTGAGTTCCATTAAAGCCTCTTGGCAGGAAAGGGTGGGACTTCCGGATTCAAGTACAGTTTCCTTACTGATAAAGTCTATTTACTAAAGCTGGTGAGAAGAGGCATCGTCTCTAAGGGTTGGACATGCATCCCCTTGGGCTGCCAGGTAGCTGGCCCTGGCCTGGGTAGAGGGGAGAAGGAAGAGGATAAAGGAGAGGAGGAGGAGGAGGGAGGAAGAAGAAAACAGAGAGAGGAAGCAAGAAGATGAGAGAGGAAGAAGGGGAAGAGAGAGAAAGGAGGGGAGACAAGGAGAGAAGACAGGGGCAACTGAGAGACCAGAAGAGGGGAGAGGAGAGGGAGACAGAGACAGAAGCCAGGCCAGGCTGGAGACAGCAGAAAGAGAAAGGAATAAAATAAAGTTAGGATTAAAAAGAAAGAGGCAGAAAAATGTTGTCCAAAGACAGGCGAACTGAGAAGAGACCAGGAGAAGTAGGACAGATCTGTTTTTGCCCCACGATCAGGTCCATGGTCAGGCATATGGATCAAGCAGAAAAGGTCAGTGGTCATCACAAAAAATGAGCTAAGTCAAGCGGAGACTGGGCACCAGCACTTCAGATCAGGAGTTCAAATCCTGCCTCAGCTACACAGTGAGTTCAAGACCAGACAGGCTATATGAGATTGTCTCAAAAACAAAACAGGGGGCTGGAGGGATGGCTCAGTGGTTGAGAGCACTGACTGCCCTTGCAGAGGACAGCGGGTTCCGTTCCCAGCACCCACATGGTGGCTCACAACCACCTGTAACTGCAGTCCCAGGGGGGTCTGACTCCTACTTCTGGCCTCTTTGGGCACCAGGCACACGTGCAGTATACTTACATACATGCAGGCAAGACATTCATTCATACACATAAAAAATTTCAAAATAAATCCTAGAGACAAAATTCAACAAGGAATGTTCAGCCTAGAGTATCGTTCACCCCTGCAAACTCTGCCTGCCCTTGGGAAGCTGAGGCAGGTAGATTGCTTTGAATTTGAGAATAGCCTTGGCTGCATAGTTCCAAGTTAGCTTTGGTTACATCATTTCAGGCTAATCTGGGCTATAGAGTGAGTTCCAGACCAGCCTGGGCCACAGAGGAAGACTGTCTCAAAAATGCAGAAATGAAATAATATCAGTCCCTGAGTTCTGAAGCTTCTGCAGAGTTTGGGCTGGAAGTAGGGGGCTCTCTCGCATTCCTGCATCTCCCCTCCATGTTTCTCAACTCCACTGAACTACTGGCTTGTGTCTAGTTCATCCATGCATGAATTGCGGTTGTTGACCAGCAGAAAGTGAGAGAGCTAAGGAGGCGGGACCTGGGGCATGGCCAGGATGGCCTGGGACAAGGAGCTCCATGCTGCTGTGGACAGACAGGAGCTGGGGGCCGGCCAGTGGGGGCTCACATTGCACGTGTTGGTCTTAGAGTCAGGAATGCCAGCGCACAGCATGGTTTTCCCCAGCAGGTCCTTGTACACCTTCTTGCAGTCCTTGGAGGAGATGAGCTTCACGTCCGAGCACATAAGGTTCGAGGGGAAGGTCACTGTGGGGAGGAGGGTGTTGGCTAGTGCTATGGAAGGGACTGGGTGGGGGGAAGCCGAGGGGCTGGATCAGGATCAGGGATCAAAGGGAAGAGGACAGGGATCTGGATTCCTGGGATTGAGGAGGGAGGGCTGGGCTGGATTCCCACCCCCAGGCAGTCTCACCATCTGGGCTGGTTGTGGTGCCCCATCCAGAGACAGTGCAAGATGTCCCTGGGGGTTCACAGTGTGATGTAATGTTGACTTTCTGCACTTTGGATGACATCTTGGCTGGCTTATCCATCCTCACAAGCATGATGTCGTTGACATGGGTCCTTGTGGAGTAGCCAGGGTGTCTGAATGACCTTGTAGCCTTGATCTTCTGGGCACTCTGATCTCCTATCTTATCACTGCCCAGATGCACAGTGTACTGACTGGGAGAAGGAGGTGACACTCAGAGAGAGGGAGGGAGAGGGAGGGGGGACCTGGAGAGCACAGACCCCCCCCCCCCGTGCCGGCCTCGCAGCACCTACCCCATTTTGCAGTGGGCTGCAGTGAGTACCCAGCGTTCACTGACCAGCACTCCTCCACAGTGGAGCTGATCTCCTCGGAGCAGGGCCACCTGCCATGGGTGGGAGCCTTTTTCACATGGGTAGCCGTCTATAATTCTGTCGCCATTTCTCTCACCCTGGTCTGGACAGACACACAGACACACATGGGTGTCCAGCATCAGAGGGAGACAGACACACAGCAAACAGCACTCAGAGATGATTCTATAAGGCTCAGGAGTAAAGACAGACGACAAGACGGAGGATCATGCCGAGGAGGTGATAGCGGGTTAGGGACAGACACGGGACCACTTAGAAAACCCCCACTACCATGTCATCCACAGATAGCCTCAGACTGCTGGAGTCTGCAGGGGCCCCATGGAGCCTGTCTGATTGAAACAACAGAGGGTCTCAGTGACTGCGTTGGCCCTCCTGTCAGAGATGGTGCGGGGGGAGCCATCTGGGTGACGAGATTCAGTCTCAGGGTGTTGGGGACACTGGGCAAGCTCTCACCTCCTTGTCCAGCAGTTTCCAGGGCTAAGGCCAGCAGCACAGTTAGCAGGGGAGGGAGCCAGACTCCCACCATGGTGTCCGTGGCACAGGGGCTGCCAGATGAGAAAGTTAAATGTTGCCAGAGCTACAAACATTGAGAGATGAGGCACTAAGATACAGGCCTACCCCTCCTCCCTTGGACCCAGGAGCTCGGGCCCCAGACTGCCTCTCTCTGGGATTCAGAAATCTAGACAGAGCCCTTCCTGCAGACCTTGGGGTTCAGACCCCAGATCTCCTCTCTTAGACCCTAGAGTCCAATCCCAGCCCTCCTCCCTTAGATCCAGGGGTCCAGACCCCATCCTTCTTCCCTCAGATACTAAAGTCCAGACTCCAGACTTCTCCCCCAGACTCTGGGATTCAGACTCAAGGTCTCCTCTTTCAGACCCTTTCCCTGGGCAGCCGCTAAGCTCCTCTCCTTCCATCCTATGGGTGGATCCCTAGGCCCTTTGCCCCTCAGAGCCTCCTGTCTAGGTCCCTGGAGCCCAGTCTCCAGGACGGTTTGTTGAAAGTCCCTCTCACCTGGGAGAGTTTCACTTGCTTAGGCTCCGTCCTGGGTCAGGAGCCCAGTGCCTTCAGCGGTCTGTAGGGCAGGTCCTTTTATACCACCCCTCCCCCGCACCGCCTCCAGCACCCTGGGGCACAGGTGGAGCTGTCTCGGAGTGCCTTCCCTCGGCTGGCTTTGCGTTTAGGGTTATCTGAAATCCCTGAGGCAGCCCTGGCAGTAGATACCACAGATCTCTCCCTCCACCCTCTTTACCGCAGCCGGGCAGGGCGGCTCCCATACAGCCACCCCCGCACATTCTGGCTCCACCATGTCAAGGGGTCGCTCCCTGGAGCAGAATTCAAGCACATGCAGAGGTGCATTCAGTTGGGAGCTTTACAAAAATCATTTTCTAGCTCTGGCTTTCTCTCAGGGTGGCCCAGCCCCCACACCATGATTGCGACCAATATGTTGGAACTCCTGTCGTCTGGATCCAGTCCTGTCTTGGAGGCTGAACTCATTCCCAGCCCAAACAGACATAAAATTTAAAAGAAGATTCCACACCAGCAGGATGCTTATGGATGTTAGTCTAGTCTCTGTCTTCATGTTCATTTAAAAATAATTTAAATTACATTATTTATTGTCTGTGTGCATGCATGCCATGGTTTGCATGTAGAGGTCAGAGGACAACTTTGGGGGTTGTCTCCTTCCATCATGTGGTGCCTGGTGGCAAGCATCTTTACTCACTGAACCATCTCACCAGTGATCATACTGATCTTTAATCATATTATAATCGGTATCTCCACACAGTATGTTTTATAACAAAAATGTAAATATCAAACATTATATAGTAGAATCTCCACCCTGACCCCAACTGTTTTTCTTATCTCAATTCTTTTTTCAAAAGATTCTACTCTTCCTTTCTTTGGTGGGGAGAATATTGGGGATTAAACCTAGGACCTTGCACATAGTAGGCAGGGGCTCTACCACTGAGCCACACCCCAGCCCCTCACTGGGGATTCTAGGCAGGGGCTCCACCACTGAGCCACACCCCTGCCCCTCACTGGGGGATTCTAGGCAGGTGCTCTACCACTGAGCCACACCCCTGCCCCTCACTGGGGGATTCTAGGCAGGTGCTCTACCACTGAGCCACACCCCAGCCCCTCACTGGGGGATTCTAGGCAGGGGCTCTACCACTGAGCCACACCCCAGCGCCTCACTGGGGATTCTAGGCAGGGACTCTACCCACTGAACCATGCCCCCAGCCCCTCACTGGGGGATTCTAGGCAGGGGCTCTACCACTGAGCCACACCCCCCAGGCCCTCATCGGTGGATTCTTATGTTCCAAAAGCAACAACAGAAGGCAGATGTGTGCCACACGCTTGTCATTTCAGCACTCACGCAGTGGTGGCAGGAAGACTGAAGTTCAAGGTTGTTTTGGTTATGAAAGTGGGCTCAAAGGACCACACCAGATAGATACTGTCTCACAAAAATATAAAGGGTGGCTCAGTTTTCATCCTGTCTGGGTCCCCCTTCTGGGTGCCAATTCTGAGACTATAGCAACCTTATTAGGATCATGAAGAGAGGTGGCGATGGGCCAGGTCAACACACTGGATGAACTGAGGTGATCTTCTGGGTTTCCAATACGATTTCTGAGTCAGTGAACACATCAGCAATGGCATGCCTTCCTCTTCTGACTGTTCCAAGCATCCTTCAGGGTTACAGCTATTCAGTCTTGACAGCCACATTCATCCTTCCTTAACCTTGGTGTTGATTACAAGGCCATCTCAAATATGACCCTCAACATGAAGCCAAATCCAGTTCTAGACTCTTTCCCCTCCTCCCTTCCTTTCCAGAAATGGGCTGTCACTCTACAGCCCATGCTTGTCTTGCACTTGTGATCCTCCTGTCTGTCTTCCAAGTAGTGGGATGTCAGGTCTGTGTTGGTATTCGCATGTTGTGTATTCGCATGCCTCGCTGGAGCCCTACATCAGACCACAGGAGTCAATAAATCCAAGCCTTTTTTTGGTCTTTGCTTTCTTCACAGTCCTCATATCCCATATTCTGTTTCAGACCCAATCCCCCAAACATTTGAAAGATTTGTATTGAGCATCAACTGTATACCAGGCTGGCCAACATGTCCAGGATACAGAAATGCATACTTGGATAGAGTCTCTTTTATTTCAAGGTGTTGACAGACTTGTATAAAAACGATAATCAAATAATTTGTGATAGGACTGGGGAGATGGCTCAGTGGGATAGAGTTCTTGCTCTGCAAGCTTAAGGAACTGGGTTCAAATCCCCAACACCCACATAAAAAGCCAAACATGTTGTGTATGCCTGAAACCCCATTTTGGGGGGTGGGTGGAGACAGGCAAATTAGAAGAGATTGTTGGTCAGCCAGCCTAACTGAATGGTGAGCTTCCGGTTCATTGAGAGGCCCCATCTCAAGGTGCTGAAGTAGAAAGTGATAGAGGAAGGCACCTAACATCCTGCTCTAGCCTCCTCAGTATGTGCACGGGTACACCACCTACATACCCATGTGCATGCAGATAAACAGATGTGAAGTAGCAAAATATGTAAGGTTATATCAGTTACTTTTCTGTTCTTGTGACAAAACACCACAACCAAAGTGACTTACAGAAGTAAGAGTTTATTTTGGCTTATGGTTCCAGAGAGTTGCATTCATAATGATTGGTAGCAGCCAGGGCAACTGGAGCAGGAAGCTGAGAGCCATGCCCCAGCCACTCACTGAGGGAGTCTAGGCAAAAGCTCTACCACTGAGCCACATCCAGCCCCTTATGAGGGATTCTAGGCAGGGGCTCTGCTGTTGAACTACATCTTGAGACTACATCTCGCTCTGCTCCTCCAGGCTGAACTTGAACTTAGTCTATAGCTGAATGTCTGATCCTCCTGCCACGGCCTGTTTCCCTGGTGGCTGGGATGACAACCTGTTACCCTGAACATGACTTCTCAACACAGTTTTGATCCTTCCTTTCAGACCAATGGTAAGATCATTTTTGCCATGTTGTCCTGACACAAAGACCATGATGACTTTATTCAAACTAAGTTACTAAGGCTCAGGACACTTATTCCCATCCAGTCCCAAGTCAGACTCCAGATGTAGACCCCGTCATGGGACTCTGGCCTCGGGGCATGTTAGCTTTCCAACTTGGACTCCCAAATCAAGCATCCATGGAGCCATGGAAACACTGCATAAACCAAGTGTGGTGGTTCATGGCTGTAATCCCAGCAGCTGGGGAGGCTGGAAGCAGGAGGACCGAGAGTTCAAGGTCAGCTGTGGCTGCATGGGTAGTCTGAGTCTAGCTGGGCTACATGTTGCATAGGGGTCGGGGGAGTGAGGGAAAAAGCTCTGGTGTTTGAAAGGCTTGTTTATTTTGAAATCCCTAGATGTTACTGTGCATGCCTGTCACACTGTCACAGTCTTCATTAGTAAGGCTGGATTTATGACTAATCCCTGGTCCCTGGGAGCAGCTCAACGTGTGTGTGTGGTGTTCACTGTTGTTCTCTTTAGCAGCCAGCCCACATCAGCTGGAGGTACTTAAATAAATAATATTTTGCAAACTATCTGGCACCCACAAAGCCACCTCCCTCACACTCAGTCCTGCTGAGCCATTCTGCCTCAGGGTGTGACAGAAAAGAACGTGGCCTCACAGGTCAGTCAAACCTGTTGCTTACCCTGTGACTTCAGGTGAGTGACCTCACTCTTCTGAGTCTCACGGTGCCCTTCTCTAAGGTGGGAGAGCAAAGCATACTGGAAGGGTTACCTAAAGGTATGCATGAGAAATGTGGGTACAGAGAGGGTGCTAAGCCCAGCATGCAGTGAAAGAAGAGGGTTTCATTTCTTGGCGACCTACAGGACATGTGTGAGATCCTTCTAGACCTTGCAGCTGATTTTTAAAAAGATTTTATCTATGTGTATGTGTGTATATCTTTGTGTGGGGGTAGGTGCATGTGAGTGCAGTAGCTGTGGAGGCTGGAAGAGGGAGTCAGGTCGCCTGTAGCTGGAGTTACAGGTGGTTTTGAGACACCTGACCTGGTTGCTGGATACTGAGCCCTGGTCCCCTGGAAGAGTAGCAAGTGCTCTTAACCAGTGAGTTGCCTCTCTAGCCCACTTGTTCATTCTCATATGGAGTGGATCGAGGCTTGTCACCCTCATTTCACAGATAAGACAATAAATAGCCCCATTCCTAAGGAGAAAGAAATGTCAGAGTCTGGGAGCTGGGAAGATAGCTCAGTTGGGAGCATGAAGACCAGAACCCAGGGCTGGGGAGGTAGACACAGATGGATTCCTGGGGCTTGCTTGCTGGCCAGCCTAGCCGACTTAGCAAGCCCCAGGCCAGTGACAGATCCTGATGGTGGACTGTGCCTGCGGAAGGACAGATGAAGTCGAGCTCTGACCTACAGAGGGGAGGGTAGGAGATAGGGGGAGGGAGGGAGAGAGACAGAGACAGAGAGAACAGAGAACTGCTGGTCCTATTAAGATACACATCCTTATATATGCCTTTAATCCCAGTACTTAGGAGGCAGGGGCAGGAGGAACTCTGAATTCAAGGCCAGCCTGGTCTACAGAGAGAGAGTTCCAGGAGAGCTAGAGCTACATAGAGAAACCTGTCTGGAAAAACAGAACAAAAAGATATGCATCCTGTGTCCTTTGGAGTTAATCTCAGGACTCATCACTAAGTCCCACCCAGACACTCAGCAGCATGTCCCTCCTTGTCCTCGCCTCTCTTCCCCGAGCCTCTGCTGGTGACTCCTCTAACAGCTCACAGTCACATCGAGGACTGAGAGGCGGTCATCCTTTCACCTGGGCACTGCCTGAACATACCCTGCACGCGTCGACTCCAACAGCTCCTGACTCAACCCATGGACTCTGGTGCCTTGTGGCTTCTGACCTCCTGATTCTCAATTGATTTCTTTCATTTGAGAATGACCTTCACTCCTTTGAGGGAGATGCCTCCTCTTCTCCTATATCTGGTGGAAGCATTCATCAGAGTCCTCCAATCCCATCCTCATACTGGGATAGATAAGGACTCAAGCCAAGCCAACAATAGTGATGGATCCTGGGGCAAAGTTCTCCTTCAAGCTGGACCAGAGTTGGAATATAATTATGCAAGGTTCCTGATACACCCACACAGCGTGTGTAGAATATCCTCAAACAACCCAACCTGTTTCACACCACATGACACAAAACAGCCACTGGCTGGTTAGGATTTGTCTCTTGAACAACGCACAGTGAAATTATTAGCCATTCAGTAATCTACGACGTGAAGGAGAAAAGATGAGAAGGACCAATGATTCTCTTTATTTAAAACAAAACCCAAAACCCTAACCCAAAACAAACAAAACACCCAGAAACAAAATTCGTGAATTCCTGGTGTTGGAGAGTCATTAAGAACAGTTAATGCTCTTCCACGGGACCTGAGTTCAAATCCCAGCACCTCCATGGCCGCTCACCAGAACCATCTTTAACTCCAGTTCCAGAGGATCTGGTGGCCCCTTTTGGCATCCTTAGGCATCAGGCATGCATGTGGTGCACAGACATATATGGAGGCAAACACTCAGACATGTTAAGAGACAGACAGACACAGAGAGAAACACACACACAAACACACACGTGGAGAGAGAGAGAGAGAGAGAGAGAGAGAGAGAGAGAGAGAGAGAGAGAGAGAGAATGTTCTGCTTTTATGGAGGATGCAGGCTCTGTTTTCAGAAACTACATGGTGGCTCACAACCATCTGTGTGCCCAAAGCGCCAGCCTCCTCAGACAGCTGTATACACTCGTCACATATACACATAGAAACATATGCATAAATACAAATAAGATAAATATTTAAAATGATGAGTATTATTTATTTTTAATTCCTGAGTTCTTGGCTAGATTTACAGTTCTAGGCACACACTTCCTCCTATGGAGCAGGCCTTAAATGCAATCATAAAGCCATTAGTTACCCCCATAACATTCATGCCAGTACTATTGTACCCATAGGTACTCAGAGAATAACCTTAAGGTATAATGTTAAAAATATTATATTGAGAGGCTGGAGAGTGTAGCTGAAATGTTTCTCTGGTCCCACCCAGCCTCACGGTCCCATGTTCCTCGGGTCTCACCCAGCCCCACAGTCCCTCAGCCGCTTATACAAAAATCAGTCAAAGGCTTAATACTAATTACCAATTGCATGGCCTATGGCAGGCTTCTTGCTAACCAGCTCTTATAACTTATCCCATTTCTATTAATCTGTAAGTTGCCACGTGGCAGTGACATTACTGGTCTGCTGGCATCTCTCTTCTCTTCTTTCTTCTCTCCTTACACCTGCTTAGATTTCCGGCCTGCCACTAAGCTGCCTTGCCATAGGCCAATGCAGATTTATTTATCAACCAATCAGAGCAACATATTCACAGCATCCAGAAAGACATCCCACGGTAGGAGGGCTAGCTCAGTGGGTAAGAGCAGCGCACTGCTCTCTCAGAGAACCCAAATTTGGTTCCCAGCACCCACATGGAAGCTCACAACCATCTGTAACTCCAGTTCCAGGGATCCAATGCCCTCTTTCTGGCCACCGTGGCCAATGTATACATGTGATACATATAAATACATATATATGCAGGCAAAATACCCATACATATAAAAATAAAAAAATATTTTAAAATTATATTAAAATGTCATATTAAACCTGAAGTTTATAGCCAGGTATGATGGCATCCCATCATTTAGGAAGTGGAAGCAGAAAAATCAGGAGTTCAAGGCCATCCTTGGTTACATATCGCACTCAAAACTGAGACCAATCTAGGCTTTGCGAGACCCTCTCAACAAACGAATGAACAAAAAAACACAGCCAGTCCTGGTGTTGAAGACCTAATATTCCAGGTGTGGAGGAGCTGAAGCAGCAGGATTGTACATTTAAGGCCTGCGGTGGCTGCAGAGTTTAAGGTTCCAGTCAATCTGGACAGCCTAGTGAGGACTATCTGAGAGCACAAAGTATTAAAAAGCATCCTGTGGGGTTGACAAGATGGCTCAGCAGGTAGAAGTGCTCAACACACAAGCCTGACCTCCTGAATTTGATTCCTAGAACCTATGTAAAGGCGGGGAGGAGAGAGACAACTTCATGAAGTGGTCCTCTGGCCTCCACATGTACGCTGCACACACACATAGCATGCAGACAATGATAAATAAGTTTGTAAACATTAAAAAGGGCTGCGGATGTATCTCAGCAGTGGGGCTACCTAAAATCCCGCAGTGAGGGGCTAGGGCAGTGTGACTCAGTGGCAGAGCTTCTGTTTCGACTCCTCAGTGAAGGGCTGGAGACACAATTTCAAGGTAAAGTACTTGCCTGACATGGGAAAAGACTGGAGCTCAACCCCTAGCATCAACTTTTAAAGCATGAAAAACATAATAGAGAATCTAAGTGTGATGGTATTCTCCATTATTGCAGCACTCAGGAGGCTGAGGCCAGTCTGTCCTGAAAATGAAACCCTGTCTCATAAGGAAGTGGGAAAGGAAAAAAATAAAACACCTTTTTCTTTCATAGACCAGAACCCTGGATATTTGAAAATTCTTATAAATTTTTGATCCTTTGAAGCCACTCTCCCAATAACCAAAGTTGTTTCCTCCTCCTCCTCCTCCTCCTCTTTTTCCTCCTCCTTCTTAAGGCAAGGTCTCATATGCCCAGGCTGGCTCTGAACTCACTATGTTGCTGAGGCTGGCCTTAAACTCTCTATCTTCCAGCCTCAAGCTCCTGAGTGCTTGGATGACAGACACACTACCATGCCCCAATCCCCCAGGGCCTTGTATAGTCGCTCAGGCAGTGTGATGAGCACAGGAGCCACAGGGACCTAGTCCCTCCCCACCAAGTCTGTTAGCAAGCTGTAGCCCTTTCCCCTCCTCGACCCCTCCTCCCTGAACACAGGCCAAATACAGTCGAGGAGTCAGCCACAGGCGATGTTTATTGACACCTCCATCACCAGGATCAGTCCCTGATGTTCATGGTCTTCGTGATCCAGTCAATGTAGCGGCAGATGTTGGTGTAGACACCGGGTTTATCAGGTTTCCCACAGGGGTCTGAGCCCCAGGACGTGATGCCCTGGAGCATTCCGTTGCACACCAGAGGACCTCCTGAGTCACCCTGAACAAGGGCAGAGTTGTATTTGCCTTAGAATGCCCACATCTCTTTCCCTTCTGCACCCAGTATTTCAAATTTTGGATTACATTTTATTATCTAGTGTGGCACATGGAGACCAGAGGTCAGCCTGCAGGAGTCAGTTCTCTCCTTCTATTAGGAGGGTTCTGGGGATCAAATGCAGGTTGTTGGGCTTGACTATCAAGTGTCTTTATCTGCTGAACTATCTTGCATTGAACCCCTCAACATTTAATTTTTGAGATATAGTCTCCTGTAGCCCAGGTGCCTCAAATCCCCTATGTAGCTGAGATTGACCCTGAATTTCTGATTCTCCTGCCTCCACCTCCCAAGTACTGGAATGGCAGGCATGCATCACCGCACCCAGTTTCTGCAGTGCTGGGGGTGGAACCCAGGGTTTTGTGTGTGGTAGGCAAACACTCTCCCAAGAGCCACATTTCTTGGCCCTATAACTAATTCTTCAGCATGGTGGAATGGTTGGCATCTTATAGCAATTGGGAATAAGATGTGGTGGCCCAGAGTTTCCAATGCAGAGAAGTGTTCTAAGGATGATGGTCAAATTCTTGACCAATGAGGGAAGAGAGTCAAGTGTCCCAAGTCTAATTTATTGAGAAGACACCAGGCTTTCAACAAAGGGGACTCAGCTAAAATCTCTAGTTGGGGAGCAGAGAAGAAAGAGCAGGGTCCTCACAGAGACAGAGGAAAAAATATCTCCCTCAGGCACAGACCCAGTCCCTAAGGGCCGTGGTGGGAATCTTTGTGGAACTGATCGTGGTCTCTAAGACACTGGACTTTCAGTGATGGAAACAACAGCGTCCTTGGCCAACGAAGAAGAAAGATCTGCCTTTGGGGTCTAATCACTAGTGATGGGAGTGGAGCTTCCATGAAAGGGTCAAAGCCAGTTGACAGGAAAGAGAACATTATATCTGTGGGAAACAAATCCCATGAAGGCGGGATGGGAGGTCACTGAGGGGCTTGGAAGTCTCTAATCCCACTCCCAGGCCAACTGGAAAGGCAATGTTGGTCCCCAAGGATGCAATGACAGAACCTTGGGAACCCAGTGGCAGGAGCCACAGCAGTGCAGAGACCCACCATTGGGAGAGAAGCATTGCTTAATCCTTAGTTTCGGATTGTCCTCCGTACCCGCCACCTCTCTCCAGCTTAGTGTGCAGACAAAGACTGACAATAAAAAGACGGTGACCAGCAAGGCTCCTGAGCCCCACCCACGCTGTGTGGCCTTCTGGGAGCAGCTAGCTTTCTCTGAACTCTGCCAGGATGGCACAGCTTCTCTGTGTACTAACTCTTTCAGGTCATCCCCATCTACACCAAACTGGACGGTCACTCACTTCAGAGGTCACTCACCTGGCAGGTGTCGGCTCCATTGCTGCTGCCGGCACAGACCATGCCTTCGTTGACCTTCCCCGGGTAGGCCCTCTCACACTTGTTCTGGGAAAAGATTTCCACTTGTGCACAGTTGAGAGTGTCTGGAAAGTTCTCTGAGGAGGAAGAGGTGAAAAAAGACAGCACCTTTCCGATCCATCCCATGTGTACTAGACCTCCCACAGGGCCCACGATGTCACACACCAGGGCCTCTCTCTGTCTAGACAGGAGTCTTACCTTTCTGGCTTTTAGTCGTCTTTAAATCTAGGAGCAGGTGATGGAGGGGGACAGGTCTGGTCCTCCCCACAACCTTCTTGTCACTAGGCCACTAGATCCTTAATTTCGTCTGTCTATATTCTACCACTCTCCCCAAACACCATCTCCTCCTAGAAGCCCTTCCTGACCACTCTAAGTACACCTGTCTGTCCACACTTGTGATTGTGTATGGGGGGGGGCAGAGAGAGGGAGAGAGGGAGAGGAAGAGGGAGAGAGCGAGAGAGTGAGCTGAATTCAAGCCCTCATACATGCTAGGCAGACACTGTATCACTGAGCTACATTCCAATCCTCTTTTTCCTTAATTTTGTTTCTTTTTTTTGGTTTTTCGACACAGGGTTTCTCTATGTAGCTTTGCGCCTTTCCTGGAACTCACTTGGTAGCCCAGGCTGGCCTTGAACTCACAGAGATCCGTCTGCCTCTGCCTCCCAAGTGCTGAGATTAAAGGTGTGCGCCACCACCGCCCAGCAATTTTGTTTCTTTTGAGGGCAGTCTCCTGTAGCCAAGGTTGGCTCCCAACTCTCTGTGTAGCTGAGTGACCTTGAACTCCTGATTCTCCAGCCTTCATCATACAAGTATTGGGGTGACAAGTATGCATGTCACATCACACTTTTTATTTTATTTTTATTTTATGACTCTCATTAAACTGCTTAGACTGACATTGACCTTGAAATCCTCCTGCCTCAGCCGTCTGAGTACCTGGCAGGATAGTTCTGTGCTACCTCTAGGAATTTTCCATCCTTTCACTCCTCACAACTTTCCACCATAGCACTTGCCTCGGATACTTGGTTACATGTGTTTGTTTATTGTCTATCCCCCAACTAGGATGAGCTCCAGAAGAAAAGAGACTTCCTAGTTTGCTCATGACTTACGGTTGTGCAGGGGTTGACCTCAGTATCTTGGGCATCCTGGGTGTTTAATACATGTTAATGACTGACAGTGGATACGTAGAGCCCCTGCTTAGAATCCCCCAGTGAGGGGCTGGGGGTGTGGCTCAGTGGTAGAGCTCCTGCCTAGAATCCCCCAGTGAGGGGCTGGGGGTGTGGCTCAGTGGTAGAGTACCTGCCTAGAATCCCCCAGGGAGGGGCTGGGGGTGTGGCTCAGTGGTAGAGCCCCTGCCTAGAATGTCCCAGTGAGGGGTGGGGTGTGGGTCAGTGGTAGAGCCCCTGCCTAGAATCCCCCAGTGAGGGGCTGGGATGTGGCTCAGTGGTAGAGCCCCTGCCTAACAAGTGCAAGCCCTAAGTTCAATCTCTAATATTGACAAAAAAAAATTAATGACTGAAATTACAATTAACTTGCTATTAATCCCTTTTAAGGAGAAGGCAGGGAAAAGATCCAGAGTCTCTCTGCTCACAGTCTTATGTAACCCTCACAAAAGTTCTTTGAAGGGATCAGGATGCATTCATTCATTTTGTCACTCAGTTATCCATTCAGGAAAGTTTACCAAGCATTTCCAGAGTCCCAGGGAACTTCCAAGCACCAAGAACACACTATCAGAGAACAGACAGGGCCGGGAGTGGTGGCAGACACCTTTAATACCTGAACTTGGGAAGCAGAGGCAGGTGAATCCCTGGGAGTTCAAGGCCACCTTGTCTACATAGTTCCAGGACAGCCAGAGCTACATAATAGAGCGACCCTGTTTTAAAACAAAACAAAACGCCGGGCGGTGGTGGCGCACGCCTTTAATCCCAGCACTTGGGAGGCAGAGGTAGGCGGATCTCTGTGAGTTCGAGGCCAGCCTGGACTACCAAGTGAGTGTCAGGAAAGGCGCAAAGCTACACAGAGAAACCCTGTCTCGAAAAACCAAAAAAAAAAAAAAAACAAAACAAAACAAACCAGATTGGGGTCTGGAGAGATGCTCAGTGGTTAGGAGCACCCACATGGTGGTTTTAAACCATCTATAACTCCAGTTCCAGGACTTCTCTGGCCTCTGCAGGCACTGCATGCATGGGGTTCACAGGCATCCAAGGCAAACACTCATACACATTAAATAAAAACAAAACAAAACAAAAACCCAGATGAGTTTGGGAAAGATAGCTCACAGAGTCAAGCCTCAAGCCTGACAACCTGACTTTCCTTGGAACACCATGGTGGAAGGAGAGAACTCCCACAGGTTGTCCCCTATTTCACCTGTACATTGTGGAGCACACACATGCACACGCACAATAGATAAAACGTAACAAAACTAAAGAAAACAGAACCCTCAGAGAGCTTACTGACAATTGAATGTTGACTCCCTAGACATACTGGGGAAAGTGAGGCTGGGGATGGGAAGTGGCCCCCCCAGGGCTGATGGAAAAATCCACCCCATTCCTCAGCATACATTTTCAAGCCACACTGTCTTGTAGAAGTCAGACATGTAGGGACCTGATTGCCAGCAAGGCCAATTCCTGGAGGGCCCCATTGTCTCTCTGAGCTAAGCCTCGCTTGTTCCCACTGTGAAGTTATAAGCTGAGGAACATTCTAGATATGCCAAAGTCCCGAAGAGACTGGTGTTTGACTCATGAGTAAGAAGGGAGTTTGGACCCCATTGGAACACGGAGGCTGGGTGATGATGAAGGGGAATGGGAATGGGAAACAGGAAAGGGAACAGGAAAGAAGAATAGGGTCAGGTTGGAGCTTATGCCTGAGTCTGCTAGAAAGTTTATATAACGCTCTATACAATGGAAGTGTGTACAACATGAAGGAAACATTTTTTTTCTTTTTCTTTCTTTGAATTCTACTTAACATTAACAATCTGTTTAATCCCTTTCCCATTATCTAGCATTCAAGATTTCTATTGTGGGCCCCAGGTTAATGAGAAAGAGAGAGAGAGAGAGAGAGAGAGAGAGAGAGAGAGAGAGAGAGAGAGAGAGTTTGTGTGTTCAGCAGTTAACCGATGGTGTTGATCCTTAAGATGGATTCCACCTTGTTTTTTGAGCCATCAATTCAGCCTGGCCAGAGAGTTCCCGGGATGACCCATCTGTCTATCTAGCTCCGCAGTGCTGTGATCACGAGAGCACACCATGGTCTGGCGAGGTGGCTCAGCAGGCGAAGGTGCTTGCTGTCAAACCTCACAACCTGAGTTCTGCCCCCAGTACCCACAGAGTGGAAGGAAATGAGTGATTCCTACCGACTGCCCTCTGACCTTAGCATGCGTGCTGGGAGTGCATACATGTGCACATGCTCATATCCAAACACATAAATAAATACATATGATTTAAAAAACCAAACAGTACCTACACTTCACCACATATTTGTATTGAGACAGGGTCTCTCACTGAACCTAGATCTCACCCCTTAGGCTATACTGGTTTGCTAATGAACCCTGGGATCCACCTATCTCCACCTCCCAGCACTAGTGCATGGTGCCACACTTGCTTTAATGTGGGTGCTGGGAATCTGAACTTGGGTTCTCACCCTTGCTCAGCAAATAATTTACTTACAGTCCTTCCCACCCCCTCCCCGCCCCCGCCCCAGTATTCTCTCCCCTTCTTCATAAAACTTGATGTTGTGGTCACTTTTCTCTTTCGTTATCTACTCTTAGGATGTGTGTAGGTCAAGGTGTGTTTAGAAATAAGATCTGCAGTGGCGTCCGAGGGGCTGCCTGCCGCCGTCTCTTCACCCTCTCTGTAAGTACCCAGCTTATTACCTCGAGGACTGGTGACAGTGCCCCAGCCTGATATGGTGCACTTCTGGCCAACTCTGGGACACTCATTGGTCAGGTTGATGGCCTTTACTTTGTTCCCGAGTTTTGCTGAACGGCGCATTCGAACGAGCATTACGTCGTGACTGTGATCCTCTGGGTTGCTACTGTTGTAGCAAGGATGCTGGATAGACTGAGCCACCTGGATCTCCTGTTCTGGCTCATCTCTACTCTGCAGGCTGTGATCTCCCAGGCGCACTGAGTACTTCCTGCACAGAGGGGTTGGCGGGTGGAGGTTGGAACCCGGGCAGGAGTTGGAGGTTGTAGGCATTCTCCTCAACCCTTCTCCTTCAGAACCCAAAACTCTTCTATCAAGCCCAGGAGTCCAGCCTGTCAGATTCAGTGGTCCTCCCTACCCCTCCCTCGCCCTCCTCCCTCAGACCCAGGGAGCTAACTTCTCCTCCTCAAACGGAGCCCTCACCCTCTTCCCTTGAGTCGCACCCATCTGTGCCCAGCCCTCCACTCACTGTTTTTTGCAGTGGGCTGCAGTGAGGACCCAGTTGTCTCCTACCAGGACACCCCCGCAGACCAGTCTCGGGCCCTGGAACAAGGCTGTCTGCCAAGGCTGGGAGTGGGGTGCACACTCCTGACCCTCCAGGACCTTGGATCCCTGAGCTCTGGTGAGTCCTGCATCAGGAGGGAGAAGGGTGGGTCGCCACCCTCCGGGGCAGAGCCAGGGCCAGGAAAGCCACTGTGGGTTCAAATGGACACACAGGCCAGTTCCTCTGCATGTCATCTCTTATGACTTCAACAGATGAGGTCCTGGCATCCATCAGAACACGGCCACATGGCCACACCTATAAACTCATTGAGACCTGAGACTCATCAGCACTAAGCACAGCCCCCAGCATGCTTCCACATACATCTAGATGGGTCTTTATATGCCCACACTCAAATTTCATTCCTTGTCTGGCAGGCAACAAGAGTCCCTTCTGCAGCCACGCATCTAAAGGGAAACTCAACCCACTACCACCATATGTTGCTACCTCTGACCACTTCTGAGAAAGCCCCTCGGTCCCCAAGACCACCACATGCACCCTATGTCAGCAGAAGCTCGCTCAGAGCCCGGTAACCCCCACCCTACTGAAGGCCCTGGGTGATAGCACCTATCCACCTCACCTGCCCACGCTCCCATCAGCAGAAACAGAAGGATCCACGTCTGGGTGGCACAGGGTGGGGGGCGTCCCATGGTGGCCTCTGAGGAAGAGGGTGGAGCTGAGAGGACGTCCGAGGGAGGAGCCTGAGATCTTGTTTTGGGAACTAGGAGAGGAGGTGTTTCCGGAGGATGGAGTTGGGGGTCTGAGGAAGCTGGGGCAGAGCTCTAGATCCCGGAATTTCGCGAGTGGGACAGCTTGTTGGTAGGGATCCCGACACTCTAAAGGAAGGATGATCTGGGGCTCACTCGTGGGACGGGGGAGGAAGATCTGAGGCTGTGACTCCAACCTTTTGGGGTGGAGGGAAGTAGAAGGCCCGCTTGAAGATCCTGAGGGAAAGGATGTGTGGCTTGGGGGTTCTGGGCTCAGGGGAGGGGGAGATCCCTGCGCCTGAGATCCGTGTCTAGGGACCTCTGCGCCTCACCTTCCAGAATGCAGGGGGAGGGGTCACTCGGACTCGGTGGAAGAGGCCCCCGGACTTCCTTCGGTGTGTTGGGTACACGATTTTTCAGCCTTTTAACTAGGAAGCCCTGCCCATGGCTCCGCCTCCTGCCCGCACCTGGCCGCGGTGCGGCTGAGCCCGCCAGCGCGCGAGGAGGGGCGGGGGCTGAGCGACTTTAGGAGGAGGGGCTGGAGTCTCGGAAGCCGAGGTGAGGACTGGAGGGGCTATGCACCGACCCCCGGCCTAGAACGGGAAGAGCTGGGTCAGAGGGAGGGAAGCAGCTGGAATCTGGTCTCGTGGATCTGAGGGAGGAGGCTAGGATCTGGATCCCCGAGTCTGAGGGAGGAGGGCTGGGTCTGCACCTTTGGGTCGAAGGGAAGAGGGCTGGTATTTGGATATCTGGGTCTGAGAGAGGCGAACTGCAGCTTGGACCCGAGTGTGAGGGAGGAAGGTGGAGCCTGAATCCCCGAGTCCGAGGGAAGCGAGCTGGGATTTGAATACCTCGTCTGAACCCTTGGATCTGAGGAAGGAGAGCTAAGGTGAGTCTTAGGGTGGAGGCTGAATCTGAAGGAGGAGGCCTGGGGTGTTCTCCAGGGTCAGAGGGAGCAGGGGACTGACTGTCTTCTGTCGGAGCTGTGCTCTGTGGAAGGTAGGGAAGGCGTGTGTTCTGCTTGGGCACTTTTGAGGGTGGGTCAGCAGCCGGCCCGGGACATCTGGGTAGGCAGGTTCGGGTGGCGCTGTGACCTGATTTCCCCTCCCCCCTGGGGCGGCGGGACCAGCCTTGGCTGGAGTCCTAATGTGCTGCAATAGGCTTGTTGTTAGGGTTAGCGCAAGGGTTCGGCTGGTGTCGTCCCCTCATTTGCCCTTTCTTTCCCACCTGTGAGCACCCTTCATCCCACATCACAGACGGTAGGAAGTCACTGCCCCTATGGTTTATTCTGATTCATCTAGTGGCTCTGGAGAGATCAATGCCCCCATCATCCTCTCTCAAGAATCAAACCCACGACACAGCTTGGGCAGAACCCAAAATCGTCTGAAGTCCATGTGGGAAGAGTTAACGCAGGCCTGACAGCAGCGGAGGTGAGGCCACGCGGAGTGGAGTCCAGAGAAGAAATCCCACACGGTAAAATTTGGAGAGATTCAGCTATTTAGTAAAAGATATTTCTTGGAGGTGATCTTGAGGGTTGGGCTACTCCAGAGAGTGGTGATTAAAGTCATGTTGTCTGGGTCAAAAACAAAGGAGGCGTGTCTCTGTTGGGTTCTGAGGGGGCGTGGTCTTATAATTGCTTTGCCTGGGAGCAGAACCCAAGAGGTCAGATGACCTAAGGGGGTGGAGTCTTGGGGCGGAGCCTAAGGAGTGGCGTCAGAGGGGCAGAGCCTGAGGCGGCAGAGTTTCATGGTCATGTGCTGTGACATGAAGGTTGGAGGTCTAGGGCAGAGAAGCTGGAGCTGTGGAGCCCTACAGTATCTTCCCGTCCTTTATCCATCTTCCTCTCCAGTCTGTCCTTAACATGGACTCAGTTTTCTTCAATGGTTTTTTGAACCCAGTCCCGGTAGTGGAATACGCTTGTGTAGACAGCGGGTCTCTGGGGTCTGGAACAAGGCTCAGCTCCCCCAGACACTATACCTGCCAGGGTTCCGTTGCACACCAAGGGTCCCCCAGAGTCACCCTATACATGAAGAGCAGAGCTGTTAGCTGGATCTGTTCATGAGAATCGAAGCTCCCTTCTGAGAAAGCCTCCTGTTTCCTGCCATTCAGCACCCAGGAGGCCTGGTTTAGTCTCTCCTCCCTCAGACCCAGGAATAAAAGCTCACACATCTCATCCTCACCCCACCATGTAGCATCCTGGGCTCCCAGAATCCCTAGATCCCAGAATCAGCCTAGATCCCCAGGACCCTTCTTCCCTAGGTCCTGGAGTCTGTGGTTCCAGCCATCTCCTGCCCTAAGGTTTAGAAAAAGGCTTCCATCTCCCTGCAGGGGGTAGTTCACCTGGCAGGAGCCTCGGCCGCCCTCCCACAGGCCAGCACACAGCATCTTCTCAGAGATGTGGCCTGGGTACGCCCAGTGACAGAGCTTGTTGTCCAGGATGCTGATGTTGGCGCACTGCAGTGTCATTGGGTACTGTACTGTTGGGGAAGAAGGTAGAGGATGGAGGATGTTTCCAGAATCCCAGACAGCACCCTGCAGATCCTCCCCTGCAGCCCTTCCTCCCCCAGGACTCCTGCAGAGCCACAGGGCCAAGACTCAAAGATGGAGGTAAGAGATGTCAACCTAGATAATCACAAGGCTGCAGAAGAACAGCTGTCTAAGAGGGGGAAAGACCAAAAGGGAGAGGGAAAAAGAGGGAAGATGTGTGTGTATAACTCACAGGGATGAATAGAGACCAGTGAGGGAGATGGACACCCCTGAGGGGAAAACCACTGTCAGAGGCAAATGGCAAGGCAGACACGCAGAGAAAAGAGTCCAGAGATGTTAACAGGAAGTGGACAGCACAGTGTAGTACTTGATTTCTTGCAGACAGAGTCCCTGGGGTGCAGCCTCTACTAATGTTCCGAGGGGTAGCCTGTATTATTGATCCTGCCAAGTGGGTGCTACTTTGAGAATGTGAACACCCTTTTGCCCATTCTTTGAATTTTATTACTTGTTTATTTATAATTTTTTTGTTTGTTTTTTGAGACAAAAATCTCAATATGAAGCCTTAGCTAGAACTTTCTATGCAGACCAAGCTGGCTTCAAATTCCTAGAGATCTGCTCGCCTCTGCTTCCCACATCCTGGGATTAAAGATTTGCACCACCATACCCTGCCCTGGATTTTCTGTGTGTTTGTATGTGTTATATGCACACGTGTGGGTATACACAACTGTGTATGAATATACAGAGGCCAAAGGAGGACCTGTATTATTACCTTGAGACAAGGTCTCTCACTGAATCTGAGGCTAGGCTGGGAGCTAACACATCCCAGGGGTGAGGCTGGGAGGGAAAAAAGGAGGAGGAGGATGGGATGAAGAGGAGAAGAAAAGGAGAAGGAAGAAAGGAGGAAGAAGAAAAGGAGGAAAGGAGAAGGAAGAGGGGGAAGAGAAAGAAGAAAAGGAGAAAGAGTAGAAGAGGAGGAACGAGGAAGAGGAAGGAGGGGAGAGATGGAGGAAGAAGGAGAAGAAAGGGGCAGGGGAAGAAGAGAAGATGGAGGAAGAGGTGGAGGGAGAAGAGGAGCAGAGAGGGGAGATGATAAGAAATGCACAGGCTCAAGGGCATGTCCATACGTTTGGAGCTGGACACGCTGCCCCAGCCAGAGATAAGGCACTGGGAGCCCACGGTCGGCAGGCTCCGGCTGAGGTTGAGGGGCTGCACAGCTGCACTCATCTGGACCTTCCTGGGTAGCCGGATCAGCATGATGTCATCATTGTGGTCATTGGCAGAGAGATCCGAATTGAACCCGGGATGGGGGAAGAAGTCTCTGGCCAGAAGCAGCTTCTCAGAGCCCTCCCACTGCCACAGGTGATGTTCCCCAAGCCGGACCCACAGGTACCTGAGGACAGGTCAGAGATCAGGCTGGGGACAGGTGGCTCAGTCCCTCAAGGGACCGAGTACCCCTCCACAGCCATATACCCTCTCTGAGGCTCTTAGCCTACTTTACGGAGTCACCCACCTTCTTCCCTATCCTGGGGCTTCAGTGGTGACCTGGGTCCACTAGTACCTTGTGCATGCATGGGGATCCCACCTACCACACAAACACAACCTCGCCCCTGCCCCCACAGGTCTGGTGGCTTCTGTGGGAGTAGCTTTAAGTGTTTTCAAGATGTGTCTGGAGGGAGGTGGGACATGGAAAAAGTCCAAGTTTTCCAAGAGGCCTTAACGCCACTCCCACCTGTAATATCCTTTATTGCCCAGGCATTTCTTTTCCATATCTAACCTTAGATTCTCCTGCTGCAGCCCTAGAAAACTTGTTCTGTTCTGAGTCCATGCTGTGGACAGTTGGGGACTTCCCAAGGTCTCCTCCATGTCCCCTAGCCTCCAACCTTTGATGGTGATGATTGAAAATTCAGGGTTTGGAGAGTGTGAGGTGTTATTTCTGTGTCTATCCCTCTCTGACAATCTGGGGGTGCAGAAGCTAGCCCTTTGGTGCCTCCTTGACTCTTCCTGCATCCCCACAGCCCTTCCTTATTCTCTTATTTCTGGGACTAAATCAACACATCACTCTCTCAGCACAAGATGGCGCTAATCTTGGAGGGATGCATATTGGGAAATTCCTGGCGAGAATATTGGAACAGCCTGGGTGACCTTGGCCAGGAGCAATGAACAGAGAATTCTTTCACCTCATGGGGTCTAGGACCCTAGAACACCCAGAACCAGGATCCTAGAATTCTAAGAGTCAAATATACCTCATTGCCCATGCTTCTGGATTCTGTGATGCTCAACTTAGGGAACTGTATTGATTCATGCGTCTAACATTCTACATCTTATTTCATCACAAAATCTGAGATCTTAGTCCTGGTTGAATGCCTGTCATCCAGCACTCAGGAGGTAGAAGTAAGAACAGGAGTTTAAGGCCATCTTTGGCTACATAGCAAGTTCAAGGCCAGTCTGGGCTATGTGAAACCCTGTCTCAAAAACAAACTCCAGGATTTTAAGATTGTCTGCATTAAACCTAATGCTCAAAGATTCTAGACTCCCAAGTCTAGGACAGTAAGGCAAGGGTTTCACCAGTCAATTATAAACATTTGATTCAGAAAACGTTGAACAGCCACAGTCAACAGCCCCTGAGAGAAGCCCTCTTGGTCCATAAGACTCTGCAATGGTGGAATTCTGGGACATTAAACCCACCAGGTTTTTTTTTTTTGTTTGTTTGTTTTTTTTTTTTTTTTGGTTTTTCGAGACAGGGTTTCTCTGTGTAGCTTTGCGCCTTTCCTGGAACTCACTTGGTAGCCCAGGCTGGCCTCGAACTCACAGAGATCTGCCTGGCTCTGCCTCCCAAGTGCTGAGATTAAAGGCATGCGCCACCACCACCCGGCTAAACGCACCAGATTTTACATGTTCATCACTCTAATAGAGTTCATCTCTCTATTCCAAACACTGGCTGAAACAGCTAATACTTTCTGACTATAGGATTCTCGAGTTTTCCCTTCCGTCTTTCTCTAGGTCTCTCTCCATCCGTCTTTCTTTCACCCCTCCCCTCCTTCCTCTCCCATCACTCCTTCTTTTCCCTTCTCTCTTCATCCTCTCTCTTTTCTGTTCCCTCCATCACTCCCCCCACCCCTGACCCCTGCGCCCCTTTCTTGAGAGAGTCATATGTATCCCAGCTGGCTTAGAACTCTCTGTGTAACTGTGGATGATCTTGAATTCCTGGTTGGGCTAGGATGCCTATCATCCCAGCACTCCGGAGAGGCAGATGTCTGTGGCTCTCTGTGTTCCAGGCCAGTCTGGTCAAAATTGCAAGTTCCAGGACAGGCAGGACTGCACAGCAAGGCCCTGAAGAGCCTACCTGTTGAGTCTTAGAATAAGGTGTCTGAGCAGGTCCCTAAGAGCCCTGGCCTGGTGTCAGACCTCTTCTGCCTCCAACCCCGAGCCCCAACCCCCACCTCAGCCCTTTACCTCCCCCTGTTTCCCAGCCCCCGCTGGGCCTGGCCAGCCCTGGACACTCACGGCTTGCGGCAGTGGGCAGCTGTGAGCAGCCATCGGTCACTGATGAGCGTGGCTCCGCAGAGCTGCCGCGTGAAGTAGAAAAGGCCCGCCTGCCAAGGCTGAGAATGGAGCTGGCATTCCCGGGCTCCCACGGCGCGGGTGTTGGCCCCACAGTGGCCTGTGGTGCAGTGGAGGACACAGGGGTCAGAAGCAGCATGCTAGGTAGGGAGTGCAGAGGCAGAGGACACCGCATAGGGTAGCATGGGGTTGGAGGGCATGGGGCTGGGCTTCTCACCTGCCAGCAGAGAGAGCAACACCAAGGTGAGTCCCAGCTTCATGGCCCTGGGCGCAGGTCCAGAGGCTGGGCGCCTGACCTTCTTTATGGTAAGCCATAGAGATCTTCCTTCCTCCTCCCCGGGGCCGCCCCTGTGATTAATCAGGGTTGAGAAATGTCCCCGGGGGAGGGGACGGTCTGATGCCAGGGTCCTCTGGGAGAGAAGGTGGGTGCAAGAGGGACTCTCCATGAGGGCTCCTAGCTTAGCAGAATAGGCTAAATGTGGAGGAGGTGCTGGGCCTTGGAGAGGTTCTGTCAGAGCCTTAAGAGGGTGGGGGTTCACTTCCCATGACCTCAGGCTGTGAGATCTGGGTCCAGAATGTTTTGTGGCTTGTAGGAAGAGGAGGAGGAGGAGATGGGGAGGAGAAGGAAGAGAAAGGGAGGGAGGGAGAGGAGAGGAGAGGAGAGGAGAGGAGAGAGAGAGAGAGAGAGAGAGAGAGAGAGAGAGAGAGAGAGAGAGAGAGAATGTATGAAAGAGAATGAATGAATCTCCCAGTGATGCTCTCTCCACCAAATCAAACCTGTTCTGGGACTGGGATCAGGGCTCCTGCCCTCAAACTCACAGCCTCTCCTGCGGTGTTGAGAAATCTGGCCCCATCCCGACAAACCCACTCTTGTCATAACCTTCCCCATAGTCCCAAGCACCCCAAGAACCCAGGGACTCAACTTGCCTGGTACCAAGCCCAAGTCTCTCCCCTTCCCCTTCCTCTAACACCCCCAGGGCCTCACACCTGCTGCATTGTTCTTACCCATCCCCCCCACCCGTATTTTGTATTTTGTCGGTCTTTGCTGTTTCTCCCTCCCAGCATGGGGTGAATCCCCTGGAGAGCCCAGACTGGGTCTGACTCATTTCTGTCCCTAGTGTCACCCTGTTCTGGGTGGGGCTCTCTGGAGTCCTCCAAAGATGCCAATGATTGAGTGGATGTCTTTCCCCATATCCTTCTTTTTCTGATAAACTCTTACTCATCTTCAGGACTCAAGCTAAACGCCCCTCTGCTGGCATGCCTTCCGTGCTTTCTCCAGGCCGAGGCTGACTTGGCCCTCACTAGCACCGTCCACTTTCTGCTGCTCAGGAGCCTGAATATCAAGTTGAGATCTGCTCCCTGAAACACCCCTTCCCTGTGACAGGGCACTCTGAGTTTTCTTGGTTAAGATTAGATGTATGACTTAGTTGCCAGGGCTGTTAAATGGCAATACTAACCAGAGCTGCAGGGAGGCAGCGATGGCACTAATGAACAGATGTTACTCTCATAAGAACCTGGGGATATGGTTCAGTGGGTAGCGCATTTGTGTGCAAACCTGAGTTCAATCACCAATGCTCCTCTTTAAAACACACAAACACACCACCACCATCACCACCACCACCAACAACAACAACACTACCAACAACAACAACAAACAAACAAACAAACAGGCACCATGGCTCATGTGCTTTAAATCTCAGCCCTGGGGAGATGGAGACAGATCCTGGGGGCTTGCTGGCCAGCCAGGCTAGCCAATCTGTGACCTCTAGGTTCAGTCAGAGGCTCTGTCTCAAAAAACAAGGAGGAGCAATGAGAAAGCTCAGTGGGTAAAGGTGCTTGCGGCCAAGCTTGACCTGAATTTGATCCTCAGGACCCACCTGGTGGAAGAAAGAGAGAATTGAGTTTTACAAGTTGTCTTTCAACTCCACATATGCACTGTGGCGTGGATACCCCTCAGCCTCCATCCCATGCACACGCACACAAATTAAAAATAATAAATGTAATAAGGAGAGGTAGTGAGGCTGGAGAGACGGCTCAGGAATTAGGAGCACTGGCTGTTCTTCCAGAGGACCTGGGTTCAGTTCCTCAAAACCACCTGACGGCTCACAGCTGTCCAGCCCCAGGGATCCGATGTTCTCTTCTGGACTCCTGGGGTGCTGTATTCACACAGTGCACAGACATGTGCAGGCAAAACACCCACACATATGAAGTAGATAAATAATTTTTTAAAAAGTTAAAAACTTATTTTCAAAAGGAAGAAAGGGTGGAGATCAAGAGATGGAGACAAATGATGTGGACCTCTGACCTCCACATGCACACACATATACACGTGCATATGAACACATACACACATGCAAAAGAAAAAAGAAAGGGAAGAGCCTGCTATGTGAAGAATGGTCAACAAACTGTCTTCTCATCCACCAAAGAGCCCTGCTCAGTCTTCAAGTGCTCGTCAGCCAAGGGCACAATTACTCCCCATTCACTGTGGCTGTCTCAGAGAGCTGGGACGAGATGCTGCGTGCTAAGGACTACACATGTGCTTCAAGAGCATATTCTAGGGGCTGGAGAGAGGAATCAGTGGCTAGGAGCACTTGCTGCTCTTCAGGGGACCCAGGTTCCGTTCTCAGTACCTACATCAGTAGCCTGTATAGTGACTTTTAACTCCAGATCCAGGAGATCTGACGCCCTCTTCTGGCATCCAGAGGTACATGCTCATCTACACACGCATAAAATTAAATAAGGATAAAATAGATCTTTTAAAAAGTAGATGTTAATAGCTGTCCTGTAAAAAGGATTTATCCGGTGTGTTGCGGGTGTTTGTTAGTGCCAGGCCTCACTCTGGCTCTCCTGTCAGAGCAGCAAGGGTCCTTTAACTGCTAAGCCATCTCAGCCACCGTTTAAAAATTACGTTTATTTAATTGATTGTATGTGGGCATGACACAGAGCATGCGTGGAGGTCAAAGGACGACTTGTGGGAGTCATTTCTCTCTTTCCACTTCCTGGATCCTGGAGATCAAACCCGGGCCGTCAGGCTTGGCAACAAGCACCTTTACCCACTGAGTCGTCCTGCCGGCCCAATCATCTAGAGTGAGATTTTATTTTAAAAAATTAGACTTTTAGAATTTTATTTTATGGCATGAATTTTTTTTTCTGGATGTATGTATGTGTATAATGTGCATACGTGGTATCTGCAGAGGTCAGAGGAAGGCATTGGGCCCCCGGAACTGGAGTTATGGATGGTTGTGAGCCACCATGTGGGTGCTGGGAATTGAGTCTGAGTCCTCTGGAAGAGCAGCCAGTGCTCTAACCCACTGAGCCATCTCCAGCCCCTCAACAGCCCGAGCCTGAATAAGAAGTTTGTTTCTATTATCTTATTTAAAATGCAGAAGTCTATCACAGCCGATAGCTCTGTTTCAGGGTAGTAGGTTGTAGTAGTGTGTGATGCGGAGGACGGTATCAAATAAAGACACAAACAGGACAACAGGAGCTGTCACAGGCGCCACACGGGTTGAGCCACTGAGATCAGAAACCAACATGGGACACTTGGTCTATGGCAACCCAGGAAGGCCTCCTGGAGGAAGTGACCTGAATGACAGGAATGTGAGACTTGCCTGTCTTCTCGACCTAATGAGCAGCTTCCTGGGGGTAGGGCTTGGTTGGAGTCATCTCTGGGGCCTGTCAGAGGACATGGGTGAATTATCTCCAAACATGAGGCTGGTCTGCAAGACCCTCCTTACTCTGCTTCAGATCCTCAGATGACACACAGGATTGACATTTCCTGAGTGTGTTAATGGTGTGGCATGGGGGAAGAGCCACCAGAAGGAGGCTGTGGGTCAGACTCCATGTTCTGACCTTGGATATCAACATTGTGGGCTTTGCTGGGAACAGGGACCTTTCCATGTTCATTATTTTCTGCCCTTCCCACACTGGGCCTGGCAGACAACAGTCTCAATTAATTGGTGTTTGGAAGGGGAAATGTGCTGTTTGAGTAAGTGAACACCTGTCTCTATATCCTTTTTCTGATGAACTCTTACTCATCCTTCAAGACCCAAACTAAATTTCCCTCTGCCAAGATTTCTGTGTTCCCTTTATTTAGGTCTAGGCTAAATCAGGCTGCTCAAACACATTTCTGTTTCATCTGGCCTCTAAACATTTACCCACAGACCATAGCAGGATGAGGAAAATAATCTCTTTGACAAAACCTTCAGAGCCCCTTAACAAAGGGCACAGTTTTTCCTGACTCCTACAGGGAGGCTCCCTGCTGCACCTGGGAGTGGGCATGGATGCTGCATGGGGCCCCTAGGAAGGTAGAGAGTGTGTCAGGTGACCCCAAACCAGGCTAGTTCCTGCCAGGACAGGAAGAACTGGTGTTGGGTGGACCCAAAAATGAGACCTAGTGGGAAGGGAAGAGGAAGTGGTTAAACGACGCTTCCAAAAGCTTGGGGGAATGGAGAATCTGATTTTCCCATCAGACCTGTGGACGGGTAGGAGAGGCAGGACAGAAAGGGAAAATGATGGAGAAGGTCCCTTACTCCAGAGTCTAGCCGAAGTTTCTCACTAGCTAAGAGCCAGGGCTTCCAGCACAATTAACCATGTTGTTTGTTTTAGTTTTTGTTGGTAAGAGTTATGTTTATTTATTATTTTAAAATCATGTATATTTGTGTGTGTCTGTAGATAGGTACATGGATATGTGTGTAGGTGCCTGGGGAGGCCAGAAACATCTGACTCCTTGTGTGCTGGGACCTAAACTCAAGGTCCTTTGCAAGAGCAGTACACACTCCTAACCACTGAGCCATCTCCCCAGCCCATATTGCAAATCTCTGAGTTTATGTGTATTGGTGTTGTCCACCTGTATGCTTGTGCACCACGAGCATGCCTGGAGACCGGAAGAGAGCAACAGAGCCCCTGCACCTGGAATTACAGCTGGTCCTGAGCTGCCAGGTGGATGCCAGGAGTTGAATCCACGTCCCCTGGAGAGCAGGCCACACTCTTAACTGCTAAGCCCTCTCTCCAGACCCTTCTTTTCTTTTCTTTTCTTTTCTTTTCTTTTCTTTTCTTTTCTTTTCTTTTCTTTTCTTTTCTTTTCTTTTCTTTTCTTTCTTTCTTTCTTTC